CTCTCTCTCTCTCTCTCGGAAACGAAAACTGGCTTTCCCCATCGCCCCTGCATGGCATGTGGAGAGATCATGAATGTCACCAGTCCAACCCGCCACGCGGTGATAATACTTAATAAACAGAATTCTAGCACCTCTAAACGACCTTGAGCAATTATAACGGATTCATCCCGACTCAACGATGCAGCTCGGCGGCAAAAGTCAACCCAAATTCCTCTTCGGAGGCTCCACCCCCATCAGATGCCTGACAAAAAAGTCCCGCTGCCTCCTAACCGCAAAGTCACGATCCGAACCCACACCGTGCCCAGCACCCGGCACGAAAAGGAGATCATAATCTTTCTTTGCGTCATTCAACGCATTCACCACCTGCATCGTCGCCGCTGGATCGACGTTCGAGTCCAACTCACCGACGATCAGCATCAACGCGCCTCTCAAGCGCCCCGCATGCGCGACATTCGACGAGTCCGCGTAGGCCTGATCGACCGGCCACCCCATCCACGCCTCGTTCCACCAAAGCTTATCCATGCGGTTATCGTGGCATCCACAGTCCGCGGCGGCGGCTTTGTAGAAGTCGCCGTGCCAGAGAAGGGCGCCGAGGGCGCTTTGGCCGCCCGAGATCCATCCACGGTCGGGACTGGGAGGCGGCAGCGGTGATCCAGGCGATGCGGTCCGGTAGGCCGGCGTCTTTGAGGTTCTTGTGGCAGTGGTTGTGGAAGGCCTTGGAGCGCCAGTTCGTGCCCATGCCGTCGACTTGAACGACAATGAAGCCTAGTTCGGCGAGTTCGTGCTGGCTCGTGAGGGTGGAGAAGGATTTGGGGACGAAGAAACCCTGGGGCCCAGCGTAGATCTGCTCGATGATGGGGTATCTCTTGTTGGGGTCGAACTGGGAGGGTGGGATGATGATGCCGTGGATCATCGTTTTGCCGTCTCGGCCGGGGGCTGAGAAACGTTCCGTAGGTGCCCATCCTGCCTGGATCAGGTTGTCGAAATTGTTCTCCTCGAGTGCGACAACCTGCTCTCCAGTCTCGGCATTCCTCAATACGCTCTTGGGAGCCAGATCTACTCTGGACCATGTATCAATTAAATACTTGCGATCAGGACCCCATGTCCAGGTGTGTGTCCCGTCACCACTGGTCAGCAGCGTAAAGTCAGAACCGTCAAAATTGACCCTCGCAAGCTGCGCATAGTACGGACCTTGGCACTCCACTGCGCCAAACGCTTTGAGCCATATCTGTCTCTTCTCTTCATCAACCGACTCCACTGAACGCACGTTCCATTCTCCTCGCGTAATCTGATTCTTCATATTCGTTGTCTGCAAGTCAAATAGGTAGAGGTGATTCCAACCATCTCGTTCACTAGCCCAGATCATTTCATTGGAATCCCTGATTTCATGATGGTATTCCTTCTGCGAGTAATCGACAAATGTTGTGCTACTGTCTTCAATTACGCTTCGCACTTGGCCTTGCGTGTTCAGCCCAACGATTCGAAGAACCTGGTGACCTCGTTGGTTGTATAAGAAGCGGTATTCTTGGCCATCGGCGCTCCATCCCATGTCGTAAATGCTGTGTGGATTCTGGAAGAGCGCGTCATCAGTTGTCACTTCCTTCTTCTCGGTCAAATCAAACATCCTTGGCCGATCGACTCGGACGTTGTCTCCAGGTTTCAAATACTGGAACTGCTTTAAGCGAGGTTGGATTTGATCTTTCGGGCTGGATTCCACTGCGTAAACCGTACTGGTTTGCTCCGGTGTGTACTGGTATGCGACTGCAAATTGGCTATTCGGTGAATGGTAGATCGTGTGGTCAAAGGGGTTGCCTTCCGTCCCGTTGATAGAGAGCTGGGTTTCTTGACCATCTGCATCACGGACCCATACATTATACTCTTTCACCAGCGCTTGCGGCTTGTCGGAACTTTCGGGCCGCTGTGAAAGTGCTGGGCTAGAAGACTTTTCGATTGCTTTCGCGACGGATGGCTTTTCTTCTTCTATAATGGCAACTGCGTCAAGATCTTGTGCCATGAAATTTGCAATTAGTTGACCGTTGTCTGAGTATGACGCCCGCCAGACATGGCCCGAATATGTTTGCATTCTGTTCGATTTCCCTGCTTCGACTGTCGCATACCGCTGCGGGTTGCCATCATAATCGATCCAGAACAGAGCTACTGATTCCTTTGTTCGATTGATAAATGTTATGAAGGTACTCTTATCGCTCGAATCCGATGGCTGCTCGCTAGATAGAGGTGTAAGTGAGTCTTCTTTGATCTCTCCGTTATATTCGGCCAGAGTCTCGTTGTCGCGGAATTCCCAAATCTTCTCTCCTATACGGAACTTGACAGATTTTCCATCTCTACTGGTATCAATAGAGGTAAATAGGAGTGAATCTGCATTTGCTTCTATGCCGACATCACGGAGGGATGTTGCCAGCCGTTCATGGTCGAATGAAGGCTGACGCAGACTTTGCTCTGGGTCTACCGTGACGAAAGAAGACTGATCGGCTCCGAAATCTCTCCGGTACCAAAAGGCATTGCCACTCCCTATCCACCTTGGAGAGATTGATGTTTCTATGTAAGCATTCTGAATCCGATCTGCAAGGCTAGCTGACCGCTCGAAGTCCGGTGTCACATCCTGATTCGGGGAAGACATCTTCATGAGAAATTAATAAAAAGAGGATACTTGTGTAACTAAAGAAAACTGTAGAGTGAGTAGGCACCTCCTTCGAAACAGGCGGCAAATAAAAAGTTGCTGCAGGATAATCTGTAGAAATATATAGTTTCGGTCAGACAGACACGGGCTATATATACCTGCTAGTTTCAGCTCGGCTTTCATCAAAAGAGATGGCAGTCTAATTCCCGCGGTCTGAGAAGCGAGTTTGGGCGCATGCCTCTTGTTTTCCAAGCCAATGAAAAGGGTGTCGTATCGGAGGGTAATGGCTGCCACCAGGGCAAAGATACTACAACTTTTAGCCAGCCATTTGCCTGCAGGGCACGAGATGTTAGAAGGTAATGATATGGCTTCGTGAGACGAAGTGATGTGTCCAGCCAGCAGAGGTCTTGTTTCTCAGCTGTACGTATTTGAGCTCCACGACAAGGAATGATTATGCGGATAATCGGACATAATATTATTTTTGGTTGCCTCAGTTCTCAGCCGTACTTTTGTGGCTTGGACGATGACTAAGTTCTGAAGCATGATGCGTCTAATTTTGGTCGATAGGTCGTAGTGTGCTGATGTTGGAAATGATCTCGCAGATGAGTGTCACGTAAATGTCTTTCGGCCTAAGAATTTGGGCATAACTTAGAAGCAACGCAATTTTCGGCGTGACCAGCGGGCTTCCTGGACTTGGAACAAAGCAAACTCGTCTCCATAAGAATGCCACAACTCGAGCGAGGTCACATTAGATAGGAGTGCGAATGTGCTGAGCTCTGCAGCTACGTCCTCATGCCCACAAAAGCTTGAGTATCAGGACAATGTTGCGTAACGTAAGGGATCCTCAAACACAACACATCCCCAAACGCAACGTTATCAACCAATTACATCTAGCATTTTTCTGTCATCCACAACGAGATCCCAAAGAGCTCAAATTCCACAGACATCGAAAAATCATATAGACTTTCTTATCCATCTGTGTCATGCGCCTATCATGCACCGCATGGCAGGGCTAGCATAGACTGCCAAGATAGTTAGTAGAGTAGATGCCTTTCGGCGCCCTCAGGGCATGTTAGAAGATACAACTACTTTCACTACACTGATTCTGTCTTTTGTTCGTCTTTTAGGCGTCTCTTTTGCGTCAGGCTGCGACCGTCTGACAATCTGTTTTATGTTTTCATCATTAATGCTGATAGAGCTGACAATCAGATAGAAGCTGTAGGTTTCCAACTGGAATCCGGGTTTCAGCTAAATTTTCGGGGTATATCCGGGTAAAGGTGTTACATATGGGGAACTGTTGCGGCTGAGGGTAACTTAGATTTCGTTAAGTACTAAGTACTATTCACCCTGAAAGATACCGGCACAGTGATGGCCGCAGATGTGGACCAATCCATACCTGACTGCCGAGATTGCTCATGCTGTCCGCTGTCTGAAGACATCTTCATCGTTAACAGGATAAGAATTCGACCATTTCATCGTTGCCGCCTCTTAACTCCCAGACCAAGTAGATGTGATGACACAAGCGACCCCTTTGGGATGCCCTCATCCCATCGAGAGCTTATTCGGTGCCGCGTCCCGGAAAGTGCGTTCCTTCCGTACTTGTCGGCGGCACGAGTACGGAAGTGATCGAACGTAGTTGAAGCACTGCTGGCAATTATAGCCGAGTCTGGGGCCAGAAACTGGCCCCCAAAAGAAATGCGACTAATTTATCGCAGCCAAGAAGAGACCGGAGGGACCCAGAGATGTGCCTGGTTAGGGGACAGAGCTTGGTCCGGAGGTCCTGAAACCAGGCTGAGAGTCCCGTCCCGTCTGCAATAGCCTTAAGCGTCAGGCGAATACGAGGTGGATGTTACTGTGCATAATCATTTGAGGTGGTTTGAATTTGATGGCTCAAGCCCGGCTTCTAGCCTTACAGAAGGTACTGTACGTGTGATATTGCTTTCACCCAAGAACATCGAATTCACTGTAACGTCACTACTTACCCTTCCGGCCGACTAAGCGGTTCTGTGGGACGCCGTCGACAGCATGGTCGGGGCCCGCCATCAGTTATCCCGAGATGAGAAGCACGGTTTATTCGTGCTCCATCCAGAAGAGGAGGATACCCACGCAGACGTTGATATCATAGCTGTTCACGGTCTTGGCGGCGATGCATTCGAGACGTGGACGGACGCAGGCTACAAGCTGTGGCTACGGGACTTTATCCCCTCTTTCTTACCCAAAGCCCGCATCATAACATTTGGGTACGACTCGAAATGGGCCTTTAGCCGTAGTATTGCTGGCATCGATGACTTTGCTTTGGATCTATTGAACAGGCTACGAATGAAGAGGTGGTCCATAGACGCCATGCAGAGACCGGTTGTATTCGTCTGCCATAGCCTTGGCGGCATTGTGGTCAAAAAAGCCCTCATCATTGCCAAAGAACAACGATATTACTCAAATATCCTAGACAAAAGCCGCGGCATCATCTTCTTCGGGACGCCTCATCGTGGCTCAAGAGTGGCGAGTTGGGCGACTATTATGTCGAATTTCATTAACACCTGCAGTTTTCATAAGCCCATGAGGACCCAACTATTCAACGTGCTCTCTCAGAACTCTGCTGTCCTGGCCGATATCTCTACAAGCTTTAAGTCCTTGACTTTGGACCTACCAATCGTCACTTTCTACGAAACGGAGATTATGAACCCGCTCAATGGTCTTGTTGTGGAGAGGGAATCCGCCTTGTTGGGTATCAACAACGAGCGGCTGGTTCCAATGGCTGCTGATCATCGGAACATTGTTAGGTTTAACGATCCCCACAGCCAGAAATTCGAGCCTGTTCGACACGCCCTGCTAGAGATGATTCAAGGCCATCCCGAAGACGTAGAACAATTTGAACTCGCTTATTCCTACCTTACGGAGGAGTTTAACGTGACAAACTACCTCCTCCAGTATTCTTCAGTACAACAGCAATCTCCAGGGACTTGCGAATGGATCACAGCCCAGACTAGCTTTAAACTGTGGTTGCAACCGGGTGCCTCGGGGATCTTGTGGCTACGAGGGACTCCAGGGGTAGGGAAAACAATCCTTATGAAATATCTCATTAGTACAGTCATTCCTTCTCGCAGAATACTGTCTCACACCGGTCCTTCATCCAATTCGAGAGAAGTACGAGATGATATTCTGGCGTATTTCTTTTGCAACGAGCAAGATACGAGTCGCCAATCGATGTTCAGCCTTCTCAAAACCGTGATACATCAATTGTTACAAATTGAGCCGGATTTGACGCACGCTCTCATCGCTAGGCGAATCTTTACCTCTAAGAGCAAGACCTACGACTTTTTGGAGGACCCAAACATGCTATGGGGGGCACTTCACGATCTCATCATTGCCTCTAAGATGAAGACAGTTTATTTCGTCTTTGACGCTCTTGACGAGATGGACCCCAGGCATCTAGAAAAGTTCACAGAGAATCTCTGTGTTCTCATTGACACTGTCACCCCTCACATCCAGCCGCGACGGTTACGGATTCTCATTGCTAGTCGCCCATCGGCGATCATCGATGAGCAGCTTGACTGTCCATCCATTGCTGTTAGGAGCGAGCGAGACGTCAAGCATTTTGTTGAAAAGAACGTGCAGGAATTCATGCAAGAGCACATGCTTGACCAAGATATTGCACGCAAGATTGTTGACACTATATGTAAGAAAGCTGGAACGATGTTCCTATGGGCTAAGCTTGTTTGGAACCAATTTTCTCAAGATCAAGGACCATGGTCAACACAGAAGGTTGAGGCTGGCTTAAAAGCTCTCCGGATTCTACCCTCTCGCCTTGACTCATTATACGAGAGCATCCTGGCTCGATTTGAAGGCGCAACCCTAAGTCTTTTGATCAGGGTATTCTCATGGCTACTTGTGACAACTCGTCCTTTGAACACGGCAGAGTTAGAGATTGCAGTCCGGCTGGAAGCGAAGACTCTCGGCCTTGATGTCAATGAGTTCCCAGGAAAAATGCATTTTGCTTCAATCTGTCCAAATTTGATTCACGTCGATGCGACGGACCACGTTCATTTCGTTCATCAATCATTCTGTGACTTTCTGCTTAGCCCTTCCACCAGCGACCGTTACCGTATCACTCTTCTCAATGCACATCGGAGTGCAGCTCTGACCTGTCTAAGCACATTTACTCTGTATAATCTCGAGGCGGGGAAAATCCGGGACAGAATATCTGAACATGGATTGAAACGTCCAAACGCCCTGGAAGAATGCGAGCTACTCTTTTATGCAGCAAAGAATTGGCCTCATCATGCTAATTTAGCAGGTGAAGCTCCGACTATATGGACCATGTACAAACAACTTTATGAAAGCAGAGATAGCTTTGGACTTTGGATACTTCTTTACCTTTATGATGACAGCCACCACAAAAGCTCACTCCTACTATACGCAGACTCTTTGCTTCCTCTTCCGCTTCACGTTGCAGTCGCCATCGACAATAAATACCTTACTGAATGTGTGCTTCTGTGTGGTTGTGATATCAATGAGAAGGACCATAGCGGCTATTTTCAGGGCGGTCCTTCTTCTGGCGGAGGTACAGTTCTACATGTTAGCGGCATCAGCACGGAAATGGTCAAATTCCTCATACTGAAAGGGGCTGATATCAGCCTATCCAATGATATCGGTCGTACACCATTGCTGACAGCTGTCGATGCAAAGAATGAAGAACTTTGTCGCATCCTAATGCAGAATGATAATCCAGAGGCAGATTCTAGCTTCCTCAAAAAAACTGGTGGAGCAGCATTGCTTGCAGCCATCGACAACCAAGACTCAGCAATTGCAGGGTTGTTCCTTGCAGATGAACGAATCGACCTCGCTGGTGAGAACACCTTGAGAGAAGAGCGCAGTACTCAAGGCATATACCTTGTGACTCCCCTTGAGTATGCCTGCCTCCGTGGTATACCGTCAATGGCACGGCTGTTGCTGAGCAGTGAACGAATGATCGAAGCCCAAGCACGGAAGGAGCTTAGGTACCCCAAGGCGAACCCTACGAGTATTCTCTTCCTTGCCGTCCTCCAAGGTTGGGAAGAGCTGTCTGTTGAAATAATGGATCTATTCCCGACAGCCCTTGAGCAGGATCGAGACAAAGATAGGCGTACGGTTCTGCACCATGCGGTAATCGAGCATTGGCATGAAGTTCTGGAAAGATGTATCGCAAGGATGAAGACTGGCAAATTGAACATGATGGACAAAAATGGTCGCACTGCCCTGCACCACGCCGCGTCGAATCGAAATTGGTATGCTGTGGCAAGGCTGTTGGAAGTTGGTGCCCAGCCCGGTGTGCCAGACCACAGTGGTAAGACTCCCGCACATGTTGCTGCTGAGATTGGCTCAGAGCGTGTCCTGAGACTCATGCTGGAACGAAAATCAGTTCGCCCTAGTGAGCTAGACAATGAAAAGAGGACGGTTCTTCACTACGCGGCAACCTGGGACCTGATTAATGTCTGCGAGCTGCTAATATCCTCGAACGAAGTCGACCTTGCTGCCAAAGATCGCCATGGTCGGAGCGCAGCTCACCTGGCCGCACTTTTCGGTTGCCCCAATGTCCTTGGACTTCTTCTTGGTACGGGTAAAATCGATATCAACACGAAAGACTACTGCGGCAACAGTCTATTGCACTGCGCTGTCGAAGGCAGAAGCATTACTTGCGTAGAGGAGCTGCTCTGGAGAGAAAGTCTAGATATAAATGCCTTGAACCGCCGTGGGAAAGCCCCACTAGACATGATCTACTCAGACCCGGATCCGGAACGCCGCAGGATAATGCGCGAGCATCTCGAGGGTGCTGGGGCGCGTCCAGGGCTCTGGAGGCCTGGGCGACGACCATACGTCAGTGGACGGGCCGAGGAAGTCTGGGAAAGAGAGCACCGTCCCGGCTGGGAGATTGTCCCATATCTCGGCCAGAATTAGAAGAACATACAAGGATCCGGAGAACACGATGCCAATATCAACCTGTAGCTGAGCTTTTTCCGATCCTTTTAATACAGACTCTATTTTGGAGGATTCTCTAGTCAAATATACTTTTTACATGTAAAACTTCGTCTACTTGATCTTTCATGTCTAGACTGCTAAAACAGAAAACCAAACTCAAATCAAGGTCAATGGACCTATAGCTACTGAATGATATAGGTTTTCTGTCATTTTGTTTGATTTTCTGGAGATTTAGGATGAATAGCCGGAGCATCAGCAACTTCTCCGAAGCATGCGCCAAGCTTCTGCAGCACTTTTACAACTTGAATGGGCAATATTACAGTACTCTAAGCACACATCAATAGCTCTTTTGGCATTACGTAAGGAGGGCCTCTCCCCCCAAGATCTGGCTTTGTAGTTATTTCGCGTTAAGTCGAGTAATTTTTCTCGTTGTGCGACCTGTTCGAGGCCGAGTTTTGCAAGCGATAGCTGCAAAGCCATCGATCGTCACACCCCGGTCATTTTCAAGGTCGTAGAGTCCTCCATTTTCCTCTTCGAAATGTTCATGCAGAGGAGGAAAAACAGGCTGTTAGCAACTAACTCTTAACTCAATTTAGATGGCCGATCCATCCCTCTACTCCTTTACTTCTCCATTGGAAGGCTGGGAAGGACTAGATCCTCTGCCTGAGTACAGAAGCCGTTCGCTATCTAATCAAGTCAACTGATCATGGCAGCGCGAGAAATGATGATGGGAAATCCTATCGCAACATTTACCATGGAGTGCAGAGCAAAAGCTACAGCCAATTCACTGACGGTATCACCAACGGGCAAAGAGGAGGATTTGATGTTCATATCTACTACTATCAAGTAAGCTGCTTCATGATCGGAAGAGTCCTATTCTCCAACTTGCCTCAGAAAAATGCCATTCAAATTGCTTTCGCCAAAGCATTATGGGAACGCGTACGCCGTGAATGTAAGTATAGTAATGATTGTGCAATTTTCCCATTGACAGCACAAGTTCCTGAGCTTCGCATATACCAACTATTCGATCAGCCGATAGGCCCCCACCCCATCGCCATGTTCGAGGTCAATCTCTTCACCCCAGCACAGTTTGGAGCTTTTGTTCCATGGTTGGTCATCAATAGAGGACCGCTGAGTGCTCTTGTGCATCCGAATACTGATAATCAAGGAGAGGATGAGAGAAATCACACACAGCGGGCTACATGGCTTGGGGAAAGGATACCGCTAGATTTGAGTGTGTTCAAGAAATCCGGACAGCAGCCACAAAAATCGTAAATAGAGCTCAGGGCAGTATGTTGATGTGTTATTGTGATGTGTGCAACTTTTTTGATGGCCCTTTCCTGTGTTGCACAAAAACCATATCATTGCAGCGAAATACTCCAAATTCGGAAACCTTGATGACGCTCCACCCCCCATTACTGTTGTCAGACATTGCAATTCGGTATCTGCTACTTACTCAACTTCTGTGCCGACCGCGACCTCAAGGTAAGCTTGATGTTCCATTCGCGATTCCATCTGGCGGTTTCAGCTGGGGATAAAGTTTTCTACGCTGCTTCTTCACATATCTTTCCGAGGAGCATGCCCGCTCAGTTGTGAATGCCAAATGGTTCAGCAACAGTGGTGGGTTCCCTGAGTCGCTCCGACTCACCTTCCCGCCATGGATCAAGGAAGGCACCCGCGTGGACAACACGCCATTGCTCCTTCCATACTCTGTCTTTTGCCTACGGTCCATCCTCCATGATGCCCTGTTTCAAACGAAAATTTCCATCTGCGGTTCATATCTGTTTCGTGATCCAGGCTGGGGTCCTTTGTGAAGTATCCTGTTGCGCTGATATGTCTGCCCCCGACAGATCGGTGGCTTTCAGCCCACAGTGGCTAAGAGACGAGGCGAATCGGCTTGCGCAGAGTGCCTCGCCCAATCAGCAAGATTTGACAATAAAGTTGATGACCCCGTTGATGAGTGATAGCGAACGCAATGTGAGTTATGTTCAAAATAAAACTCAATCTCATTCTTGACATAGCCAGAATTCACCTTCGCCGCCCAGCAAGGGCCTAACTGGACCTCTGGATCCTCTATTCGACAATATGGCATACTTGAATGATTCGGACCAAAATGACCGTCCAAAAACGCCACAGAAGCCTCAATCTGGGAAGAATTCTGCCTTCGCTACGCCAACTCGTCGCCATCGAACCGCAAATACTATTTCACCTTTGCCTCACGCTTCTGGTCATCGCTCTACCCCTTCATCGACCAGACCTCGCCTTTCGGCACAGCAAGAAGCAGCGTTATCCTCTCCAGAAGCTTCTCAGCAAGGACGGCTGACCTTAGACCATGGCGAACCTCTACCACCATTCCGAGTATCTCACACTGCTTCCCCACGAACTGCTAGTAAAAAGAAATCGCCCATACCATATGTACCCACATCGAAGACGGACCGATCTTCATTCTTACAACGAAGGCGTAGCCCGTCACCCCTGCTAAGTGATTACTCTCAGTCACCCGAAGTACGTTCTGCAGGCATTGCTACTCACCTAGAAGAGGAGGATGTGTACAATGAGAATGATGAAGAGATACATGGTCTGAGTGAAGCCAAGGCAGTCTACTTGGACCGAAAGCTACCGGATTTTGTGGTACGAAAGCCGAGCGACAGCTTAAAGCGGAAGGTTCTGTTTAGACCACGTAGAAAGCAGCACGGTGACTCCTTAGTCAGCGGTGAGCTGTCGTTCGAATACTGGGACGAAGAACAGAAACAGGGATTCTGGACTTTGATTGATGACGAGGGCTTTAAGTGGATCGTCAAATACTTCTTTGATTGTCAAGCATACCGAGCCTGGATGGGTGTGGACTCTGGCTATGACAAGAACGGACTTGCATTCACCATCAGACGTAAGCAGGGCTTCCAGAAGCTTCCAAGTCAGAGCACTGTGGTTGGAGACAGTGAGGAGTCAGAGAATGAGACAGCTGACACCGGAAGAACATTTCGCAAGCGGAATATCGATCAAGTCCGACCATACTCTACAGAACTGATGAATTACAAGCGGAGCAAGGATGGGAAGAAAACGAAAAACTTCAAGAGGGAGTATACATATGATGCTGAATCTTCTGCAGAAAAGCCTTCGACAAAAGCACCACCTCACCGGAGCAACAAAAACGCATCTAGAACACCACCAGCATCTCGCCACACTTCTACACACAGCAAAGCCCCATCTAGTTCCCGACTTTCTGGGGATAGCATTGAAAGGAAAATTTCCCATCCATCTACACGAGAGTCTGTGTCAGATGAAAAGATACAGGCCAATACTACGTTGTATATCTTCACCAATGACGATGACCCCCCTGCTACAGTTTATCTCAAGTCATGCAGCAACGTGGAATCGTTCTTCTCAATCATGCCGCTGGTTGCAGGTGTAGATGAGCATGATATCCGTCAGATCACAGTCCGATTTGATTGGTTACCAGAGTCGACGCCCAACACCATCAGGATGATACCTGCGCTCTCTGACAGCTACGACAAAATGATGGAGGAGATTCGGGAGGCGCCAGGGTGGATGGAAGGAGGTGATGGAAAAGCCAGTGTCATTGTGAATGTGGTGCTCAAGTGACGAGGTACAAGGTCGACCTTCGATCAGGAGAATTGTTCAAGTCTGGTGTCAAGATGCTGAGCAATAGATTCATGAGCTTTCACGTTGCTGCTATTGTGAGCATGATGAAACGAAGGCAAGCAGGCTGGTAAAACAAGGACAGATATGCTTGAGGCTACTCGCATAAGCACTGAATCGATTTTACTCTGAAATTCTGAACTGCACCAAAAGTTTGCTCAACTGTCCACTTCATCCTTATTCTCAAGCTGACGTAGTTGGCTATCCAATGATGCCTAAGATCACAGAACGTCTTATCTGCTTGCAGATAGACTGAAAGGGACTACTCACAATAGCACATTTACTCATCGACAGGCCCCAATCAATAATGTGTCCAGAGTCCATCCCTGGCGGCTGGTATGAGATTCAGAGCACAGCCAGGACTCCATGCATTAGGTCACGCGAGGGGCTCAAGGAGAACCTGAAACGTGTGAGATATGCCCATTCCAGGATGAGTTGTTGAAGCATAATAGACGCAGTATTAAAAATTTCGTTGTGCGTGATCTGTATGAAAATAGGTTAGGTACTTGATATTAGAGACACGCCTGCCCGCTTATGCTTGAAGAACAAATGGTAACTCCACTCCTCAGTGGAAGGGGTAGTACAGAGTATCATGACAATATTATGATAGGAGAAGGGTTGGTTGGGAGGACGGAAAAGAGAAGTATACCAGTAGCGATGGGAATCGATTCAACAGCTCTTTCGAAACAGTTTTAGTACGATCAGATGACAGAATATCGATCGCTCAGGTTGAACAACGAAATGGATTTGGGATAGAGGGTTTCTGATGGAAAAGGAATGGTGGCGCATAGCATAGGAGGTTGCGCGATTACCTGAGCAGGAAGTACTCCCTCTTACTTATTGGCGGCTGGGTTGAGACAGGCATACTTCTCCCCATCTTTCTGGTGGGCGTGATGGGATTTTCTGGACCAGGAAAGAGGGATGGGGAAGCGACTTGGATTTCGATTGCTGGTTTGAGTGTGATGCATGGTCACAAGGGGTTTTCGAAACATGTAGGACTAAGGTTAAGTTAGTAGTTTGGATATTGGAGTTCGTGGAGGGCGGCATAATGCGATTTCAAACCTAAAGCGATTTAAAGAAAGGACAGTGTTTGTAACAGACAGCTGAGAAGATCAGGTCTAAGTATCGATAGGAGCTTGTGGGCGATGGAATCGTGAACACACGGATGGCAATATGGGAACTAGCCTTTTCTATGCTGCAGGATGAGGAAAGAGGCTGGATGCAGCTGACAGCAGGGTTACAAAGAGGGCATTGTGGTCCTAGGTACGTAGCCTCAAATGAATCATATCCAAAAAGTTTTGTTCTAGAAGCACTAGCATCCGATGTGAGTATGCTAGCGGTTAGCGCTGAGAGAGGCCGCCTATAGTCCTCCTAACACTTTTACTCTTTCGTGTTGTCGTGGAATCACAGGTCTATCATGAGCGATTACTAGAAAGTCTCTCTGGGTCAATTAGAAGGCGGCGATCAAGAAAAAGGACGCGTGGTGGAGATATTCAAGGAGTTCTCAGCCGATCTCTTCGACTTGATACTGCCGCTCCATCCTGATGATTGCTCTCGTGGTTCTTGCCCTGGAAACTATGGCAGGATGGCCACAGTCACGGATGTTGCAAGGTATTGTTGAAGATGTAGTTGCCCGATTCAGGAGGCCAACAATACTTTGCCAGACTTATGGAAGGGAAAAGGCCAAGGTGCACATGGGACATGCTAGAATCTGCTATGTTGTGCCAAAGAAGCTGCTCTATGAGAAGTCCAGTTATTTCCGATCTGTCTTCACAGGCGGCTTTGAAGAAGCCAATGCTAGCGGACCTGAACTTCCCCATATCGAGGCCGAAACCTTCGAGCCCGTTGTGAAATGGATGATGTCTGGGATAATCGAAGTGCCAAAAAAAAGACTTGGTGATGTGTGCTCCTCTATCGACGAGTGAGTCAACGTGCTTCCCGTCGTTCGAATACACCTCGCAGCTCAGTTCCTGAACAGCGACGAGCAAGGGGAAGCTGCAGCGGGAGTCTTTCGCCAAGCGCTCGTGGTTGAGGAATGGATGGACTCTCATACAGAGACAGAGAGCTATCTGGCCACGGTTTGGGTGACCTGCATAATTTTGCCTATGTCAAACAATAACAAGTCACTCATCAGTGTTCAATGCACAAGCTTACAGAACGAAATCGACTAGACTGAGAGGAATATACACTGATATGTGCAACGTCATTAGTATGTTGAAGTGCCAAAATGCCAGATGCGAAGAGGTGGTATGCTCAGAGTCTGTGAACAGTTGATGTGCCTCAGCTGTCAGTTGGGTGGTGCTACATGCCACGGGAGCTAGTGGTTGGGCTACGCCAAAGGAGGCCTAGCGTTGTGATCTGCCAGGGCCATCTTTCAGCCTGCGAGTGGAGATAAAAAGCCTGCAGCGCGACCTCGAAAATCGCCAAAAGCCCTGCTTTTCTCCGACCCTCCCCTCTGAACCAGAACCAGAACAGAGCCAGAGCCCGACACCGCACACATACACTTTCCTTCTTCCACTCTGCCACGCACCTTCTGCAGCGCCAAGTACTTGCTTGCTTCCCTGTGCATTGGTACCTGCGACATGGCACATTCCATGGATTTCTGATGCATCACGATTCATGCCAAACATAACTAATTCTTTCTTCCATCTCAATTCCATCTTAGTCTTTGATCGTCTTCTCCAGCGTTCTAGCGAGCATTTCTGCATTTAGGCAACAACTGTGGCAGTAACAGAATGGCATCTTCTCGGTCAGTCTAGACTCAATCTGGCTAGAACCACCTAGCTCAGCGCTAACCTCTGCCAGGCTCGACCGATTGGTCACGTGAGTAATCTCCGCTAACCATGCCAAGCCGATGTGCTCAGCTGACTGGGGCATCGTTCCAGGCTTTTGGAAAAGGGCAGCACTCCACTTATCCGCAATACAGCTGCCCAACAGCTTGCAGACATTCAAAAACAACACCCGGACGAGTTGTTTAACCTTCTTGGTCGGGTACTTCCATATCTCAAAGCACATTCCTGGGACACCAGAACAGCTGCTGCCAAAGCCATTGGCGGTATTGTGTCCCATGTGGAGCAGTTCGACCCTAATGCAGATGACGCAGATCCCAAGCTCGACAGAAATGGATGCAATGACGAAATGGAAGTCAAGGTTGAAGCTCCTACCCCGGACAGCTATGAGCTACTACAGCTGGATACGCTGGATGTTAGCTCCATCCTGCAGTACGGTAAGAAACTATTAGGTAGTGCCGGTAAGGAGTATGAATACTCGCTGGCCGGTCTTGATGCCGCCCAGAGGTTAGCGTATCAGAAGCAAAGTCTGACCTCTCGACTCGGTCTTGGCGGCGAGTATATCGAGGACGATCTGGTCAATGCAAACGACTTTGCAGCAAACTCTCAACATAAATTACCCTCTACTCCAGGGCTTCCCAGGGTCGATACATCTTTCAAAGGACGCCAAGCAAGTATTTCGTCTAACAATGCATATTCTGCCATGTCTCCCATGGAGAGTACTCCACAGACTGCCACATGGGATGAGTCAGGCCTTAGCAAACGCCAGTTGAACCAGCTGAAACGGAAAAGCAAGAGTATGGCTAAGACCGGAGGGAACAAGATGCGTGTGGTCGACTTGTCTGTCCGGAAAGCATCCGAAGCTGGTCAGACGCCAATATCCGCCGCCCCCTACCCTGTCAAGCTCGGGTCTGAAGACGATACGAATGGAGACAAGAATCCCGACTATTTTTCAATCAAGAGGGAGAATGAAGATGATGAGTCGAAAGTCGTCTCCGAGTTCAAGGGCGAGGTGGCACCGGAAAAGCCTATGATCCAGACAGACGCTGAAGAGCAGGGGCTTGAATGGCCCTTTGAGCGAATGTGCGAGTTTCTGACGGTCGACCTCTTTGATCCACACTGGGAGCTTCGTCATGGTGCAGCAATGGGTCTTCGGGAAGTCATTCGTGTCCACGGCGCGGGCGCCGGGCGCAAGTTTGGAAGATCGAGAACAGGAAATGATGAATTAAATCGCAAGTGGCTAGACGATTTAGCCTGCCGACTCTTATGTGTATTGATGCTTGATCGGTTCGGGGACTACGTCTCTGACACAGTCGTTGCACCAATCCGAGAAACAGTTGGGCAAACTCTGGGTGCTCTACTCTCGCAACTCCCAGAAGTAACGGCGCTGTCAGTATACACCTTTCTCAAGCGGATGATCACGCAGAACGACCTTGGCATCAAACATCCTATATGGGAAGTCTGTCATGGAGGCATGATCGGGCTGAAGTATTTTGTGGCTGTGCGCCGAGATCTGCTTCTGTGCCATGATAGAATCATTGACGGTGTGGTTGATTCTGTTATGAAGGGTCTAGCCCATCACGATGACGACGTTCGCTCTGTCAGCGCCGCAACCCTGATTCCGATAGCAGAAGAACTCGTTCAGTTGAATTCCGAGTCACTCAGTAATCTCATCCACGTGGTTTGGGACTGCTTATCCGATTTACAAGATGACTTGAGCGCCAGCACAGGAGCTGTCATGGACTTACTAGCCAGACTCTGCACTTTCCCGGAAGTCCTTCAGGCTATGAAATCGAACGCGCTTCACGATCCTGACAGCTCTTTTGCGATGCTTGTTCCTCGGTTGTATCCATTCTTCCGACATACTATCACAACGGTCCGATCGGCAGTTCTTCGAGCACTTCTAACCTTCCTCGCACTGGAGGGGGAAGGTGTTACTTCCTGGGTGGGCGGTAAAGTGGCTCGCCTCGTCTTTCAAAATATCGTTGTAGAGCGTGACGAAGGTGTGCTCCGGCTCTCTTTGCAAGTCTGGACCGAGCTCTTGCGTCAAATGAACTCTAAGGGTTTGGTATACTTCCGTGATGACCTTGAGAGCCATCTTCCGCCCATGATCACAATTGCGATGCACCCTATAGGACTGGCACGAAGTCCAATACCTATGGATCTGAGTTTGTTCATCAAGCCCTCTGGCGTGCCTTTCGCTTCGCATAACTTGGCTCCTGCTCGACAGTATTCTAGCGCCCACTCCTCGACCGGAGGGAAGCGAAAATCGGAAAAGAAAGACGACACGACAGCCTCAGCGCACAACGTCGATGGGCATATGCTGCATGGCGAAGTGGAATTGGTAGGTCTTGATACGCTGATCAGGTCAAGAATTTATGCTGCTCGAGCCCTTGGTCTCTTTTCCTTCTACTGGCATCAAAATCAGTTCCAGGAGCAGTGGACGGGCATTGCCTCCTATCTGACATCAAGGCGCGCGACAACACAGTTCGTGGCTGCTATGGTGATCGAAGAATATGCGAGCCACTCGGAATCAAAGACCGTTCCTCCTTCAGTACTGTCTTCTAAGCTGCTCTCTGTGTTGGAGAATGATCGACCGCTATGGTACACCGATATTGCCTCTGTTCTGCAAGCTGCTCGTGGCCAGTGTCATGCAATGCTTGACGCTTTCAAGAGCCATGCCCATGTGCCGTCTGCGAAGCTTCCCAATATTCCGCCAGTCTGCCAAGGCGATGTTGATGCTGGTCCCAACGCCTTTTCCCTTGCAGATGCAGAGCGAATTGTGAGTGATGACTTTGACCGCTTGATGAAGCTCTTGACGCCAGCTCAGCGTGTCACTGGTGTGCAATTCTTGGCTGATGCTCGAGAAAATGCAAGGATTGCTGTGAATGAAGCCAAAAGCATCAAGGAGCTTCGCGAGATGCGAATCCGAGCTGCTGCCGCCAGCGCTCTGGTTGCGTTAAGAGAAATTCCCAAGAAGCCGAGCCTGGTGATCAAGAACATCATGGACAGCGTCAAGCTTGAAGAGAATTTTGAGATTCAACAAAGGTCGTCGGTGGCCATTGCATCACTGATAGACTTCTACAACGCTGCTGGGAAACGAGGGCCTGTGGAGAAGATTATTGGTAATCTGGTCAAATTCTGCTGCGTCGACACCTCGGAAACTCCCGAATTTCATCCCAATGCTCAATTAGAACAAGCCATCTTATCACTACGAAAGGAAGAAGACCGCAAAGACCATCCCGATGCCGCCATGTTCGAAAGAGAGGCGAAAGAAGCCAGGATTATGCGGAGAGGCTCTAAGCGAGCGCTGGAGAATCTAGCTCACAAGTATGGAGCTAGCCTCTTCGACAGAATACCAAACCTTCGCTCGCTGATCGAGACTACTATAAGAAACGGGCTGGTAGGAGAACTACCGAACGACATAATGGATCCTGAGAGCCAGACCGGACAGGACATAGTTGATGGGCTGTCAACACTTCGAGCTCTAGCACCAACGCTGGATCGTGGTTTGCACACCTGGCTGGTAGATCTACTACCTTTAGTCGCCAATGGTCTTCGCAATAAGCTTTCTGTCATTCGGTACTCGGCCGCGAAATGTTTTGCAACATTATGCAGCGTGATTACTGTCGAGGGCATGACAACGCTGGTAGAAAATGTGCTTCCAGGTATCAGCAACGCCGTCGATGTCCACCACCGGCAAGGTGCTGTTGAGTGCATTTATCATCTGATGCACGTGATGGAGGAAGGTATCCTGCCTTACGTGATATTCTTGGTTGTGCCAGTTCTTGGACGGATGAGTGACTCCAACGACGACGTTCGTCTCTTAGCCACTACTTCTTTTGCTACTCTTGTCAAGTTAGTACCCCTTGAAGCTGGTATACCAGATCCACCGGGTCTTTCCGAAGAACTTCTCCAGGGTCGCGACCGAGAACGCAAGTTTATGGCGCAAATGCTGGACCCGAAAAAGGTGGAAGCGTTCGAAATGCCTGTTTCGATACAGGCCGAACTACGATCATACCAGCAAGATGGTGTGAATTGGCTTGCCTTCCTCAATCGATATCATCTACATGGAATCCTGTGCGATGACATGGGTCTTGGCAAAACTTTGCAAACGATCTGCGTTGTGGCCAGTGATCATCATATGCGTGCTGAAGAGTACGCAAAGACAGGCGCGCCGGATTCGAGGCCACTACCCTCTCTCATCATTTGTCCACCAACATTGTCTGGCCACTGGCAGCAGGAAATCAAACAGTATGCCCCGTTCTTGTCCTGCGTGGCCTACGTTGGCCCTCCTTCCGAGAGAAATCGTCGCAGGGACCAGCTCACAGGGGCAGACATTGTTATCACGTCTTATGATATTTGCCGTAACGATAACGAAGTCTTCATGCCCATCAATTGGAACTATTGTGTTCTGGATGAGGGTCACCTGATCAAGAATCCGAAAGCTAAGAGTACCCTGGCGGTGAAAAAGCTTCTAAGCAACCACCGCTTGATCCTCTCCGGGACGCCGATTCAAAACAATGTTCTCGAGCTGTGGTCTCTTTTCGATTTCCTGATGCCAGGCTTTTTAGGAACCGAGAAGGTCTTTTTGGATCGTTTTGCTAAACCTATTGCAGCAAGCCGCAATGCCAAATCATCGTCCAAGGAACAAGAGGCCGGTGCACTTGCAATTGAGGCTCTACACAAGCAAGTATTGCCATTTTTACTGCGCCGCTTGAAAGAAGAAGTGCTCAATGACTTACCACCAAAGATCCTACAAAACTATTACTGCGACCTTAGCGACCTACAGAAGCGGCTCTTTGATGACTTCTTCAAGAAGGAACGGAAGGTGGTTGAGTCGAGTGTAGGGTCAGGCGACAAAGAAGCCAAGCAACACATTTTCCAAGCCCTTCAGTATATGCGCAAGCTCTGCAATTCCCCGTCCCTGGTGGTCAAAGAAGGTCACAAACAGTACGATGCGATTCAGAAGCAATTGGCTAGCTCCCATTCCAGCCTTCGCGACATTGCACACGCACCCAAATTGACGGCTCTTCGTGATCTTCTCATCGACTGCGGCATTGGTGTGACCGAGGATGCAGGCAACATCTCTGCAAACAATTACGTTTCCCAGCATCGTGCCCTCATATTCTGTCAGATGAAGGAGATGCTGGACATAGTGCAAAACGACGTGTTGCGTAAATTACTCCCAGGTGTGCAATTCCTTCGTCTGGATGGAAGTGTTGAGGCCACGAAACGACAGAACATTGTGAACCAGTTCAACACAGATCCCAGTTACGACTGTTTGCTGCTGACCACTAGTGTTGGAGGACTTGGCTTGAACCTGACCGGTGCCGACACCGTCATCTTTGTTGAACACGATTGGAATCCTCAGAAAGATATCCAAGCCATGGATCGTGCTCATAGAATCGGTCAGAAGAAAGTTGTCAACGTTTACCGGCTGATCACCCGAGGCACGCTGGAAGAAAAAATCATGGGTCTTCAACGTTTCAAGATCGACGTTGCCTCTACAGTTGTCAATCAACAAAATGCCGGTCTTGGAACGATGGAAACCGACCAGATTCTGGATTTGTTCAACCTGGGAGAAACGGCAGATGGAAAAGCGGACCAAGGCGGAATGATCGAAGGCAATGAAGAAGACATGGTGGATATCGAAGGCAACGTTAAAGAGAAAGGCAAGAAGGGTTGGCTGGATGACCTGGGAGAGCTGTCCGACGAAAGGCAGTATCAAGAAGACTTCAATTTGGATAGCTTTATGCAAAATTTGCAGAAATGAGCTGATTCTTGCCCACTGGGGCTTCGGAAGCAAGCTTTGGAAAGGCAGGACACCAGCTTTACGTAGTACAACCGATATATTCTTCGATAGCAGCCATAAGAGCATCAATACAGACAGAAGCAAGAGCAGTTTTTCAATCACTGACAGTACTAGTAATTCCTGAAACAAGGGCATGGTCACTAAGTATGATCACGTAGCAAAATCGAGGACCCAAAGCCAAGTGGTGTATAATGATTCCACAGCTGCAGACATACCTCATGGCCTCATCCTGCAAGTCACACGGATTTTTCTATCTTGCTGCACAGCACATGTCCACTTCCCAATCTTTGGGCTTAATGTCTCCTCCTCACTGTCTCAGGACGGATGCTGAAACTGCAGCTTTCAGTAATCATCCTACCATTTCCCCATCCAAGCTCCGCTTCTCTCTCTAAAAGGCCGCTGCGCAACTCTTCCGCCCTGGAAGTCCTCCTTAGATGGATAGTCGCCTTGGGGACACCGTCTACCTTTCACGAATAGTCCGTCCTTGTTGTCACGAAGCTTTCTCTCCCAGACTCTTCCTCTTAATTTCCCTTTGGCTTCTTCTCAGACTCGTCTTCTCATTCTCCCTCTACCTTCGGCTCCGGCTCCGACTCTGTTTCCGGAAATGATTCTGGCTGCGAGTCTGGTTCCGACTCGGACTCTTCGGCTACATTCGACTCTACAGGGCAGCGCGTCCGCCGGCTTTTCTCAGCAGGTCCACCGAAACCCGTCGGCACACGATGGACCATAAACCTCATGTTAAGCAGAATGAAGAAATGGCTTCTGTTGTCTCTCAAAAGCTGCGCATGGTGACCTCAGGCCCCCAGAAGGGCTTAGTGGGCTGCGCCACACACGCCAGGCTCGAAATGGGCTAGTCGTTGACTATGCGGGCGCACATTGACTTAGTCATCGTCCAAGCCACATAGTACGGCTGAGAACTGACAAGAGGAGGCGCTAAATCGAGGCGCACGGGCCAGCAGCAATCTCTTGTACGGCCATAAGGATAAGGTGCGTAGTACGTTTGACACCTCATAATCATGCTCCCAATAAATCTCATGATGTTCAGTCCCACACGGCCAAGCGTCATCTATTTCACGCTTACCTGCAGGTTTCACAATATCAGAAATAGGGGATCCCTACCTATGGCCAAAGCAAGGGTCATGGATGCGTGAGGTTTACCAGGATGCCACCTAGTCTCCTTGTGATTATGCTCCACAACAAAATTTTCTTCACAGCGGGCACATTTGATGTAATGTAGTTTGCTCCGCTTCAAGCCATTTATTTCCTTCCCTGTCATGTGGCTGGGGCAAGAACGCTTCTTTCCTTTCGGGAACGGCAATGTAGAGGCGAGATGATACTCGTCGAACAGTTGCTCCTTGGTGTCTGAAGCAAGACATATCAGCTCAACTACCTGTACTAAGTGGGGCAGTGCTATGTGCTTGAGCGCAACACGAAGAAGTGGATGCTTGATGTCAAAAGGGTCGGGCATCCGCTTGGCTGGATCATTTGTCAGATCATCCATGTCCGGTGGTGCTATGATGTCTGCGTCCGCCAGCAGGTGTTAACTCCTGTTGCTATTGTCATGTATTTTGACACAGGAAAACGGGGCGTTGTATCGATTACGCAATTAGGAAAGTGACTAACCTAGGCTGAGCGTTTTTGGTACTGTAGGCAGTCATCACCTTTTACCTACCTACGAGGAACCCAGACTACTTAGCACATCAGTTTTGCAACATTCTCTTTATGATACAGGACACGCATTGAGACGATCAAGCTTGCATCAAGCATTCATTGTATAGCTGCACGACAGGCAAAATAATGGCGAAATCGGATGAGCTCATGCTCCAAGAGCAAACAGCTACTGATCGCCCTACTGCACCCATGCCGTCCAATCCCACCAGCGCTGAAGGTGGCCTCGTACAGAAAAACCAAGCACTCGACGCCGCGCTTGACACTGTGCCGGCTGATCGCTTACGAGGTATCATCAAGAATCTATGCCTCATTTCCGATAGCGCAGAAAAACATATCAGTCAGCTCCTTCTTGCCCCCGAGGAAAATGACAACCCAACATCGAAGCGCAAGCACTCTGCAGCGGATGAGAACGTTGAAGCAAGCAATAGCAGCAAGCGGACGAAAGGTCAGTACGCCATATGCGTACAATGCGACGGTGACTTCGAACTCGCATTGAATGATGGGAAGGATTGTCGATATCATCCAGGTCAGTCTACGATTCAACCTTGTATCGTGATCTCTGGGCTCATTAACTCACCGGAACGTGTAGGAGAGGGGGATACAGGCGAGGATCCCGATATTTGGGATCCGTTCCACGAGGGCTTGCATATAAGCTTCATTGGTCTAAAGGATGGAATTCCGCAGAGTTTTCAATGGACGTGCTGTGGGAGGGCAGGGCATAGAGGGGGGTGTAAGAGAGGTCCGCATCGAAAGGACGACAAGGAGGCGGACGAGGAGAGCGATGAGAATGTTCCCAGCGATACAGATTCGGAAGATGGTGAAGACCGCAACAACTCGAAGGATGGTGGCGAGTGATGACAAACTGGAGAGGGCAGCAGGGTAGATTTCAGCCAGGCTCCTCATGTTGCTGCTCAGCACATCCCTGCTCAAGGACGACGCGCGCAGCAAGGTCTCGCGGCATGCTTTCTTTTCCTGGTGTTTGGTAGCTGCAGGATCGTCTACTTCCTGGCGATAGCTGGACAAAGTCATGTGTAATCAGTAAAGCGCGGCGGCAAGTCATTCATTCATATTCAGATCTCCAGGATCGGTCGGGTCCTTAAACATCCGGCCAGCTAGCATGAGCACCGCCAACCAAGCTGAGCTGTACTCCGTAGCTGGGTGTTTGGAACTAAAGGACCGCCGCCCCTCAAATTGATTAGCCCTTGTCTGACAAAGCCACGTGGTCGATCCTACTACTAGTACAGTATGACAGGAGGCATAGAAGTGGTCAGTTTGTGGCCAATTAGAATCAGCTTGTTACAAATACAGCACTTCACACTTCCATTGGCTACGATGCACGCCCCTTTAGCAAATTTGATGAACGAATATGCTGAACTTGGTAAAAATCTCTGTGCAAAGTATCAGATAGGGTGATAAATTCCCTATGGGGGTATGTTGAACTGTTTGAGCGCTGTTTGACTATGCGTTTTATATACGTTTTGTAACAGATCTGATACGCATTTCGTATAAGATCCGCATGTATTTTTGGTATCTGCGTTTCACGTTACGCAGCATCTGTACGTATAAATGCGCACTCTGCGCGCTGATTTAGATAGAACAACTTGCTATTTCAACACTGATCCGTCGATTAGTCAGCAAGTTCGACAGGGTATTTCTCTCTGATGAAATCGGACTTAATTGGATTTATATGATAATATGATTAAATGTATAGGTTCTTTTCAAAGACGTGATTTTAATAGTTACAGCTCACTAAGCTAGGCTATAATAACAAAGTCTAAGCGTCCGCGTCCCCTCCGTCCCAATTGGATGCACAGATTGGCGACCAAACAAGGTACCAGTCATGTACGTTGCAACTCTCTAAAGGCTTACCCAGGCCATGCAAAGGAGGTGAGCAATGAACAGGAAAAGAATCGTAACGGATTAGCACCCAAGCTCTTTCAGGAACAACGAACAACAACAAGCGTTTCCATTCAGGCCATTCAGCTCACGGAACAAAGGGAACTGGGGAACCGAGAACGAGGTGACCAAGCCGCATTATAAACGAACAAGGCGCGTGGCCTGGTGGCCTGAGTCATGAGGACAAAATTAGGCTAGCTCGCTAAGCCAAGGATTTTGACGCCAGGCGCTAAGCGCCACACATACTGCGTGATTTGGGTTACTAACTGCTACTATCATCCAATTCATGCCGGAAGTCGTTTGTCCGCAGGATTTGACAGTCCGGAGTATTGTCGAGCACAATAAGCGCTAGTGGGTGGCATCTCCCACAGCCTCGGTGGGAATAGATGGGGATGGCAATAATGTTGGTCCTTTATGCTTTGCTACCACACATCCCAAATCACAAAGAGTGGGCTGGATTGTCTATATAGCAGCTATGGATTGCCCATGACAATCGTTTCTTTCATTCCATTCAACAAGCAATAAGTTCTTCGATCGAGATTTCGCTTACTCTGTGTGTGCGCATATTTCCTTTTCACGTTATTGCACTCTCCTTCCACGGACAGCCAGCCGCATTTTCGTTTCAAGTCAGATATCTTTGAGCTTCCTATTCCATTTACTCAAACCGAATAATCATAATGTATACATCACTCCTCCTCACAGCGCTTTGTGCAGCAAGCACCGTCTCCGCCTCTCCGCTCCTCCTACAACCCCGGCATGACTCATCTTCCTCCTCTTCCACAACTGCCTCAACCAGCCCACCCACCCCGAACCCGACCCTCTCCCCCGACCTCCTCAAAACCCTAGCCCAACAACCCACAACCGTCGACCGCTTCAGCGAACTCCTCAAAACCGACCCAAAAGCCGCCCCGCTAAAATTCGACTTCAACCCCAGCGCCAACGCCCCCTTCCGCTCCCCGGGCGGCGGCGTCATCCTAGCGACCCGCAAGAACTTCGCGCCGCTGATCGACCTTTCCATCTCCTCCGCCGTCGGCTTCATGAGCCCCTGCAGCATCAACACCGCGCACACCCACCCGCGCGCCACCGAGTTCCTCACCGTCGTCGCGGGGCAGATCGAGACCGGCTTCATCCTCGAGAACGGCCTGCCGACGCAGATCAACACCACCCTGACACGCTATCAGGGCACGGTGTTCCCCGTCGGGAGCATTCATTTCCAGGTCAACAGCCAGTGTGAGGATGCGGTGTTTGTGGCCGGGTTGAACAGCGACGACCCTGGCGCGAGCAGCGTGGCGCAGAATTTCTTTGGACTGAGCCCCGATGTCGTGCAGGCGACGCTCGGGTTTCCTGAGGCGATTGATGGGGAGAATTTCTTGACGTTCAAGGACAGGATCCCCGTGCCGTTTGCGAGGGGGGTGGAGGAGTGTTTGGCTCGCTGTGGCATTCCGATGGCGGAGGGGAAGAAGGCTTGATTGGACGGACATCTGGTGGGCAGGTTGAGATGGGCATTTTCATCGTGATTTCGGTCTCTCGGGATTGTTTGGAGGGGGCGTATGGCGTTGCTGGGCGCTGGTTGATTTTCTTCTTGTTACTGTGATTTTTGGATTTTATCTTGTGAAAACCTGAACAAAGCTTTTGCAAACCACGGGCGGCCGCCTAGGGGGCAGATTATATCCTCAATCTTATTAATTTGAAACCGCATGTTCCGGGCACGGGTGCGCACCTGGAGGTAGTGTCTGGTAGACTAGATGGCTCATCCTGTTCCATCTCGTTAAGGATTGAGATCTGCGCAAAAGGATATAGTGTACAGCACATGAGGAATCAGAAATGGATCATAAAACCATCTCTGACTATGGACGGCCGCCAGGTGGTAGTGTCTAGCAAACTAGATGGCTCATCCCATTCCATCTCATTAAGGATTGAGATCTGCGCAAAGGGATATGGTGAACAGCATGTGAGGAATCAGGAATGAATCATGAAACCACATCCGAGTAAGGACGGCCGCCAGATATATGGTTTCTTCTTTCATGAATCATGAATGTTCATTTCAAGGAAGTAATCCATATACCACAGTTTCTAGGATCAGCGGCCGCCAGAAGGTGCTGTGGGCATGGAACAGCCTATACACTATGGGACCTTGAAATCCAAAGCTGATCAGAAGAAAAGAAACTTCCGAGCACGGGCGGTCGCTATATAGTATTATACATGCCACAGATGGTCATATGCTGTGACAGATGGTCATATGCGGGCGGGACGGATGGCATGATCAATGTATAAGGGTAAATGGGAAGGGAAAGGAATTCTTCACGCACGGGCGATCACCAAGTGGTGCTGTGTGGCCCTTATGATAGTCGATTGCTTCTTGGAGACTATCTTACTTAAAACAGGAATTGCTAATTAGCAATTACTCGCCCAGGTATGGGATTGTATCCCCAGATGAATCCGAATCCACCTCCATCTCATCCTCCTCGGCCTCTTCCGCAGTCGCAGGGGCAGGCGCAGGCGCAGCAGTTCTCCTTCTTCTCCCTCCTCCCGCTCCCCCTCTCCTTCCCCTCCGCATTCCTCGCGGAACCGGCTGCTGGCTTCCTCGCACACGCAGGTCTTCTCGGACCTCGTTCAGTGTCCCCACGCGACGTCCCCCGCGAAACACCTCCAAAGCATTCCATGGCGTAAGCCCTGTGCCAGCATATGGCGGCAGCGGCAAGGTAGCAGGTCGTCCGTAAGTCGCCAGAGCTCGTATGATATTCTCTGGGTCTGTAAAGTAAGGTGTCCCGTCGACCTGGACAAAGCGGTGACCGGTCCGGCCCAAGTGGTCGAGGACCTGGAGGTAGATGTGGCCGCCTTGTGCGATGTGGACCACTCTTACGCCCTGCCTATGCGTCCCTGTGTTCCACCACAACTCGTCGTCGACGCGCAGACCACGGTAGCGGACGACCTGGGTCAATTTGATGTTGTTCACAGCGGCAATGCGGAACGTCCATGGCTCGAGATTGTGGGTTATGAGGGCAGGATGTGGGTATCGGCCGGTTGTAGGAGCTGTCGGCGCAGCAGCAGAGGAGGAGGAGGCTTGAGGTTGAGGTTGAGGTTGGGGTTGGGGTTGAGGTTGAGGTTGAGGTCGAGGTTGAGGTCGGGGTCGGGGTCGCGCAGCTAAAGTAGATGTTGGACGCGCTGGATTTGGAGTCTCTTGATTTCGAGAACGAGCCAAACGTCCTGCTGGCGCAGGCCCAAGGAGAGGAGCAAGGAAAGTAGCAGGCCCAGTCGCAGGAATAGGAAATGGGGAAACAACAGGAGCAGGCACAGGCGCAGGCACAGGCACAGGCACAGGCGCAGGCACAGGGGCGGCTGAGGAGGTGGTGGTGGTGGTGGTGGTGGTTGGTGCTGCTGCTGTTGTTGTTGTTGCTGCTGCTGCTGCTGCTGTTGTTGTAGTTGCTGCTGCTGCTGTCGGAGCAGTTGCAGTAGGAATTCCTACTACAACAACAGCTCTGGCAGTTCCAGGCAGAGCGCGTCTGCCATCTTCGCGCCCACCGCCAAAGCCACGATCTCCATAAGGGTTGTATAGTCCGCTGTAGTGAGGTCAGTCACAACATGGCACAGCAGCTGTCGCTCAAACAGGGAACCTTACAAAGATGCCATAGCGTGGTGTGATGAGCCAATCGGCTGGAGCCGGTTATTTCGGCAGACGGATATACCCGGCTGCCGCCTGCACTAGTCCCAAAGTAGATTTAGCACGAAAAATCTCTTGGCATAAAGTGTCACAGATTTTCTTGGCAACATTTTCACTACAAAATATTTAGGTACACTGGAGCTCCCCTTCTCATATTTTCAGCACAATTTCAGAAAGTTTTTCAAAATTGATTTCATATTCATGGTGCACTCCTTCTCACTCTTTAGTATGTTTCCGACAAATTTTTGAAAAACTTTTTCGGATTACTGGTGCACTCTTTTTCACATTTTCAGCATAATTTCACGAAAAATCTGAAACCTATTTCCAGATTCCTAGTGCACGCTTTATCACATTTTCAGCACAATTTTAGAAAAAATCTGGAAATCATTTCTAGGTCTCTGGTGTACACCTTGTTACATTTTCAGCACATTTTCAAGAAATTTCTGAAACTCATTTTTAGGTCTCTGGTGTACACCTTGTCACATTTTCCGCACATTTTTAAGAAATTTCTGAAACTCATTTTTAGATTACTGGTGCACGCCTTGTTATACTTTCAGCATGATTCTAGAAATGTAATAAAAACCATTTTCAGATTACTGGTGCACACTTTGTAATACTTTCAACAAGATTTCAAAAAAGTTACAAAAACCATTTTCAAATCCCTGGTAGGCCTCGCGCCCTATTTTCCGCGTTTCAAATAAGTTTCTGGAAAAACTATTTTCCTATCCCTGGTGCGCCCCATCTCATACTTTCAGCAATGAACCAGAAATATTCCAGTTTTCCCAAGCATCTAATGGCGATCCTAGGGTGCCTTCCACCGCCCATTTTCGGTGAGGATTTAGAAATGTCACCTTTTTGCTGAACCCTGACTTCAAGCCTATGATGTCCTCCATCTCAATACATATGTAGAATTACAGATGATGGGCGGTATTGACTGGAAAAGAATCACTAGAACTCTGTTTGAGAAAATACTAGTAGTGGAGATTATGAACACTTCCTCTTATGCCCTGACAAGTAATCACTTCGACCAAAGTCTCTACCACATTTGGAACAGACATACAGAGCAGCTTGCCCAGCATGACGGTGCTTGTGCCTAATATGGCGCTTAAGATTGGATTTCTGGTCACACTCAGCACCAGAGAAAGTCTGCTCGCAATAAGGACATTTGCTGGCTTCTGATGCTTCATGCTTCCTTTTCCTAGTTGGCGAGGTGGCTGGCGGAGTACTGGCAGCAGCGATGGTGCCCACCGCTTGTGACGATGCATAAGAAAGGCCACTCAGTTCATGTAGGCTGGGGGTATCAGCGTGTGCAAGAGGCCGATGTAAAGCCTCTATGTCTCGACTGGGAGCTCGTCGAATCCAATCGCGGAACCAGCACACCTTGTGAGAGTTATACATAGCCTGTGCACCTCGGCATCGGCAAACCAAAACACCAAGGGCCCGTCCTGGCTCCAAATTGCTCATCTCTCTAATCACAATTTGTGCATCTTCATAAAACGTAGAGATTTGGCCATTGCGAAGATTGCGTTCAAGGATTTCAAGTGCTTGATCGCAAGTGTTAGAGGATGAGTTCTCCATGCATGGCCTGATCAAGTCACAACGAACCGATTCCTCGGAAGAAGGAGGTGCTCCTACGGAGTAAGAAGCAGTTGAACAGGGATCACGAAGGCGACAGAGAGAGTCTGTCTTATAGCAATCTGGATTCAGGTCAACGCTGCATTTATGGAGAACCACAATCTAAACTCACAATCAATATACCACTGGCAAATTCGCGCATTCAAACCAGTGCGTAGCCTGAACCCACTTTCATTCTCACCACAAAGCCGTCCTTCGAAGGGAATAGACGCTCGCTCGAATGGAGTTCTTGTAGGATGAAAAGATCTCCAACCACCACTCGACGATCCATAGGCCTGAGCGCAGACAGCGCTGATGAGTCCCGGTAGACACCTGTACTGGAGGAGCATTTTGAAGGCAGCCCGCTCCTCATGGCAAGCGATGGCATTCGTCCATTCAACGTCGTCCAGAAGTAATGCTTCAGCAAATTGTGCCTGGCTGTGCTCATCAACGAGCATTATTACAATAGAATAAGCCACGAACAGTAGCGATAGGACTTCCTTGAGCCTATGTGGAACCTTGCCGATGACCAACAAATATAGTGCAGACAAGCCAGTCTCTAGAGTAGGCCAGCTCCTGTAAACTGGCCCCAGCACGAAGTGGAGCTCAGGTGCTTTGACCTCGCTGAGTTTGCCTAATGATTGCTCGGTGATAGACTGAAACACGACTCCCATACGCTCAAGAAGGCCGAAAGGCATCCATCCTTCGAGTTTTCCAGATCCAACTTGGAGAATCCCTAAGAGCTCTGATGGAGACGGACCACGAGGTGGGGTGAGTTCTTGCAAACAAAGGCAGTCATGGATTGAGGCGCTTCTGTCGCTGCTGCTACTTTCAGGTGACACACTATATTGGTTTGATGGACTGGAAAGTCCAAGGTCCTGGGCCTGAAATTTCAAGATCCCACGGCAGCGTTGTCTGTGAAGAGACAAGCCCACAGGTGATTCCAGGGTGTAATCATCGGACGAGCAAGAGGTCTGCCCACTGGCAGGGGCACGAGATTCAGCGAACGATCCAATGGGAGCAGCGCAGAGACTTCCCTGTAATCCAGTCTTTCTGAGATCCAGAGGTGATCCGCAAAAATCAGTTCGTCCTCCGAAAGTGCTCGTCTCCCAAGTTGGAAGATTTGGATCTTCATCTGCAGCCTCTGAGGCAGGTCCGTGTCCCAAGTTGCTGGAGACCAGTTGAATGTAGTCTGCACCATCCATTTCGTTCCCTAACTCATGGACATACCCGTCGCTTGTCTGATTGGATGGGTCTTGTGGCTGGCTCGCTGATGTCGAACAGTGAGCAACAGAAGAAGAAGTGTTCAATGGAGAGATGGATGTCGGGGACAGAGGTGAAAATAGCGCTGGACTTCTGTAGGGAGTGTAGTGAGGCGATAGGTCAGTAGTAGGGACACTCGACTCCAAGGTTGAAAATGGTTCATGCGGCATATGTATTTCATTTGAAAGCTCAGCAGGGAGCTCTTGTAGAGCGTGACTGATCTCCGTCATCGTGGAGTCAACCTCATATCTTTGTTCTCCTGCAATTTCTATTCCCGATATGGGGTCAGGCATATCGAATTCTTCGGTAGAAGACTGGCTAGAATATTCCGTAATTGCGGTGCTTGCCGGCCACGAATGAACGCTGCGTCTCTGTCTTAAACCCAACCTAGCTAGTGTTCGACGAGCTGCTCCGAACATTCGTTTGCCGAGGTGTGGACGTGTACAGCAGTGACGCTTACAAGTGCCAGCATCGGCCGAGATATGTGGCCCCGAAGACCAAGAGGGAAAGACTGTTTGGCCTGTAGGAGACGGTGCTAGGCGCTGCACTGGGCAATCAAATTCATGGTAGAGTTGTTGAGAGCGCGATGTATGTTCCAATTCACACCTCTCAACGGATGGCAAGCTCAGATACCTTTTTTCTTCGCAGACAATGGAGCGTTTGAAGAAACAACAGCATGTCACAATGGCCAATTGTGTGCAGCACGGTTGGCAAAGAGGGTGGTTTGACAGAGTGGACCGTTGAACCCCTAAGCAGTTCTGTGTGATGAAGGCGTGGTGTTGGCTGCTCGAAATCGGCAAAAGGCCGGCAGCATCTGCGCTCTCATTGGGTTGTGGATGAGCCGGTCCACAGTCTTTCAACGTGCGATTATGAGGGTGAAGACACATTATTTAGAAAAGTTCAAGGGAGGAACTGAAGTTGCAGGAAGTAAAGATCCAGCCGCGATCTAAGATAAAAATACAATCAAGGAGGACAGAAGAAACAGAGAACGACTGACGCAGGACAAGCAGTGGGACTGACAGGACTGAGCTTGGAAGCATGTTGAGCTTGGAAGCATGCTGAGCTTGGCAGCATGCTGAGCTCGGAAGCATGTTGAGGCTCCCATTCGTATAGACAGAACTAACAAGGAAACGTCAACGCATCCGCAATTGGATCATAGTTGGGTGTTGACGAGTAGGACTGAGCTGCACACCCGACAAGCAAGCCGAGCCAGAGTGAGGACGGCCTCGATTCACTAGTGTTTGCCTGCATCCCCTTGACCTAAATGATACATCTCATTCGGCAATCGTGAGTCGTCGTTCATATCCGCGGGTTGTGCTGGAGCATCCCTGTTTGCAGTAGTGTGCATCTTCAGGACGAAGGACTTCAGTCCCAGGACGGTCTTGTCGGTGGATAAGGTTCATAATTGGTGAGATAGATTTGTGAAGCTCAGCCAAGCTGCGTAACCTCGAAGACTGGTACTAACGGTACATATGTGTGGCTGCTTGGTCCGGTTGGTCCGCCCACCGTGAACTCCAAACACCTACTGCTGGACTATACCAGCCCACCGACACCGGCAGGAGGGACACGTGACAATAACCGGCAAGGCAACGAGCGGCAAGGCAACGATCGACGATGCCGTCGAAAAGGCCTCACCATAACATTGCTGCTGATCAGAACCACAGTAATAAAAAAAGATCCATAAAGGGTATAATTGCGACAGAGCGAACGGAACGAGAAAGAAAACCTGTAGACTCTATATACTTCATAGCATTGGGGGCCCATTGTTGGCCCCACCCATTGGCACCAATTAATGCCCTCAATTGTTGGAGGCTGAGTAGTTGAGCCGCAGGGCTATGCAATTTCCACATATGCCTGCCAAGTCAATAATGGCAGTCTTTTCCGCAGCCTCCTTGGCCCAATTCAGAACAACAGAAAGAGGGTGTGATTCAAAACCTAAGTATGCGAAGAGGCTAGAGTCTATGCGCCCAACCCTCTACCCGGACAGACAGACCTTCAAGTCATGTTGATGGTATAACATGTATCTTCCACATTTAACAGTTACCTGTTGGTACGCTCCTATCCCCATATCCTGACATTGTACGGTGATGGCAGAACAAGAAGACCTGAAGGAGACGAGATCGCAGGGGCCAAGACATCAGATAAGCAGATGGACGGCGGGGACAGCCTTGACAGCCGTTATGGCCCTACATCATGTGGAGCATGTCAGCACGGATCTTCCTGCAGCGATTCTTATCATATCTACCTTTCTGACGTAAAATGACCCGATTTACTATTGGCTGGTAGCCGCGCGTCAGATATAAGCTTATTCTCTCCACCAACAACAAGCTCACAATGTGACCATAACCTTTTTAAGCCACATTAGTAGCGTCAAGTGAGCCAATGATAAATCGGGTCATTTTACGCCAGAAAGGTGGATGTGGACAAGGCGGTCTCCTGCACAGCCTACAGAGATGCTGACCTCTCCTCATATACGAGATCAGGTCTTCTGTCATACCGGTGCATTCCCAGGATTGGTTTGGTATCAATGCATCTGTTGATTCGTGGCATGCCTTCTTCCTTTCTTCCTTTCTGACTACGTGTGCTTCTGTCATTCTTTCCTACACCGCTTTACAAGGCATGAGCCCAAAATATTGAGACTGTGCTAATTCATTACCTTTCTGAAAAGGCAGCCTCCATTATCTGGCTTTTCATCTTATATCTCAAAAGTTATTCGAAAAATTATACATGTTCTCGACAACAGTTTCGTTGATCTAGTGCCTTTCATCTCATGTACTCCAAGATAATTCAAAAACATACGGTTACTTAAGCTATGGTTTCAATCCTGAGTGTCTTCCATGCCATATTCTAGTATTATTCGCCAGATACTAATTTCAGTATTCCAGTACCCTGATGCCCTCGCTCTCATACTCTTCGCACACGTTATGTACATAATGAAAAGGCTACATGGTATAGCCGATATTGTATCGATCATCGTCAACCAATCGGCCATACTCCAACAGCAACCGAAAATACCAGACTTCCAGATCCTCATTCCTCAACACCTTCCCCGCCCAATCTCGCCCCTGCTCCGCAACTTTTTTCGCCTGTGTCTTCCCAATTTCTTCCTGGTCAAAGTATCGGACACTCTCCACATACTCATCCCCTTTCCATGATAAGGGTATGTAGTGCACCCAAGCCTTCAGCCACTCATCATGCCATTCGCGGAAGATGGCGAGCTTGTAGACCAGACTCTTGCTGAGCAGGAATGCATAGTACCGGCCCGAAAAAGCATTGCCGTCGATGTCGAGAAGGTATTTGTACTTGTAGGCATCGTTCATCTCGACAGGTGGCGCCAGCTCAAAATATTCTTTTTGCGCTGCGCAGTCTCCAGGGTCGCACTGCCCTATTCCTGTAAAGTGGACATCGAATTTGTCCTTCATATCTTGTCTCAACATCTTTTTTTGGAACCATGCTCCTTCCGAGTCCAGACTACCATTGTGCTCTAGTCTCAAAGCCATATCCAGGGCGTTGACCTTTTGTACGAATCGCTGTCGGTGCTGTCGTCTCCAACCTCCGTCCCTTGAAAACCCTCCGGTTGTGGTCCCGCGCCAATACAAGGTGCCGTTCTTTCGGCTCCAGCCATAATCTTTCCAATGATCGTATACTACTCGACCAGCCCAGTACCAGGGGCTCGGGTAGATGATGTCTTGAAAACTTGAAATCTTCGATTGCGAGAAGATGGGGAAGAGATCATGGGTCACGTCGAATGCGTTTGGACGATCAAAGAAGCCAAATGTACGTTGTAAACTTGGAGAATTGCAAATGTCCGAGAAGGCAGTGGTGTTCTCGACGAAACCCAATGGAGACGACGTGTATGTTGTAAAGTTATCTTCCACCGATTCTGAGAGAGATCTAGCCGCGCTTTCAGGAGGGCAGGAGAGACGCGAAGTAGTCCAGGTAGGTTGGTGCGCGAACCGGTTGAAGCGGGTAGTTTTGTACTCCTCGATGCGGGTGCCATCACCCAGATCGGCTGGACGGCTTGACCATCTGTTTGATAATTGAGCGTTATTGTAAGCAAGAGGTATGTTCACGTTCGTGGCAATTCGAACATAACGGGTCAAATCGTCATGCTGCAGGACCACACGGGGTTCATCGTGCACATTGAAAGCCAAGTCCATATCAGGGAGATAATGGACAAAACCTTGCAGCATGTCTCTCGTAGCGTTTCTGTGCCACTCTGCACGGTCCCCACCACCTTCGATCTTTGTGACTTTTCCATCCCGAATCATGACTGCGATCATAGCATTATCAAAGCCAATCGCCTCTCTTGTCCTGTTCCGCAGCACCGCAGGCTCAAGCGCCCAGAATGGTAGAAGCGAATGGTAAATCGTGTCATATTCGTCAATTATCTGGACGCCCCTTTTCTTCGCGTAGTTATACCATTTGTCAAAATTTGGCGGCGGTGGAGCCCTGTACCTGCGACGGTATTCTGCGACAGCATCCTTTAGAGAAGTTGACTGGCGCGTTTGAATGGTCTTGAAAGAAATCTCGGCCTGGGAGATCAGCCGAGCAATGGGATGTGATTGTGTGCTGATAGGAAGATTTGGCGCATCACTATCGTGTGTAAGAGGGTTCGGGACTGTTAGGTCGACCAATGGATTTGACCTTTTCAAGAAGAGAACCGTGGCTCCAATGAGGAATATCAGACCTAAGATACTGACAGACCTTCGGAATCTCATCCTGTTTTCGCTCTTCATCTGGATGTCTCCTTATCTCAGTCATGGCCAGGGCCCAGAATGTTGTCGATTGCGCATCTCCGTGATGTCTGAGCGGTCGCAACACAACAGTCGTAGAGCTAGGACGACGCGGTAGGAGCTTCTCTCGTTCGTTTTAGAAACCGCAGCAGCATTTGATGCGTCCGGGTATTGTTGTTTGGAAGAAGGTGACAAGTCCGAGTTAAGTGGGAAGAGTTCAACACCGCGAGACTATTATCCAAATATCGCCTCAGGGGAGTTCAAGGTCAAGAATTGCTTGGCAGTTTAAGCCAGCAATTTCCGCAGTTCACTATCAAGAGACACTCTAAATGTCGAGAAATATATGAATCAGTCTCACCTGCGACACACCTATAGTGCAGTTGTGACATAGTCAGTCTGCCAGGACATCCCTTGCCAGACTCATACAAGTTCGGCAATGATAACTCTACATATCGATCCCGGTCTCACTATGATAACTGGTCGTTAGATATTGAGATTGACGTAGGGTATAACTTGGGATTTTCTACGGCTTTGTGCTCCCTGAATATGGCAGCAACACAGTCTCCATCTCTTCTAGAGCTTCAATCCTATCTTATCCCCGGGTTGCCTTCCTCTGTTTACTACATTCCCGCCTTCCTCCCTCCTGCAACATGCGATGTGCTCCTCAGCACCATCTTAGCCACTCCATCCCCGAGATGGACAAATCTCTCCCGTCGACGTCTTCTCTCCCTTCCGAGTCCGCTAACAGGTAAATCTCGGGATACGCTTGTATCTTCCGCTCCGCTTCCTGCGTACCTCACAGATGAGATACTTCCGAACTTCCAAACTCTAGGCATCTTCAATTACAGCCCGCATGGTACACCGAATCATGTACTTGTCAATGAGTATTTGCCAGGCCAAGGTATAATGCCACACGAAGACGGGCCCGCATATCATCCAGTTACAGCGACGGTCAGCCTAGGAAGCTCAACAGTGCTTGACATCTACTCCAAATCCGGTTCCGAAGTTGACGGCAGCGAGCGTAGACACTGGCGCGTCTTACAGGAGCCGGGAAGCTTGCTTGTAACCATGGCAGACTGTTATACTGATACGCTCCACGGTATCGCTGAAACTTGGGTTGATGAGGATTTGCGTGAGGAGACTGTTTCAAATTGGGGTTTGCTGGGAAGCAAGGACCAGTTCCGGCAAGGTTGGAATAGCAGAAAAATGAGAGTCAGCCTGACATATCGCGATGTGAAGAAAGTGGTTTGGGTTGGAGGCAGAGCAAAGAACAATATCCTGGGCAGCCGATGAGAGAATCTGCCAAATTTCAGTCTAAAGAAGAATGATGACATGCTGGTCGAAGAAAGTCTTGCATTTGTGGAATGTAGCGGTGCACACTGCAGGGCCTCAACCGCTGAGAGGAAAGTAACAACCTGCTTGTATTGCTCTTCTACCATATCCCAGGTATCATTTTCCACTTGTATTCAATTGGGTATGCGCCAAATTTCTGCATATACCACCTTTTGGTAACGGCTGCACTCACACCCAGCTCGATGAGCACAAAGACGAATGCCGCAAGCAGTGTCTTGTTGACCACTTGACCACCAGGAGCAGCAAGGAACATGAAGGAAAAATAAATGGCGCACTCGGCTGTGTAGTGAGGCGAGACGATACTCTGAAAAGCAGGGTGCGTGGGCAGTGTATACTTCCGCAACGAGCTGAGGTAGAAATGAGCGTCGTGTTGAAGGCCGGATGCGAGGAGGAACACGGGCAGAAAGATGAATGTTGTGACACAAGGAGCAGAAACCATGGCATCCCCTAGAGGCTCATCTGTTGACATCAGTGCTGGCCCGCCCTCGATCCAGATCGCTAGACCCATCGCCATGTAATGGAGCAGGCCCAGCAGATAGTGCCCTACCCACATCTGGGACACGGTCGGTTTTTCGAGTGTCATACTTTCATACAGGCGACGGGATCCTTGAATGGTGAGCAGTGTCCAACAAAGAACTAGTTGATTGAAGGACATTGATGATCTATGTGTAGAGGTGCCCGACACAACCTTTTGCAAGATGGGCCCTCGAGTGTAAAGCTGTTGCAACCACACCATTGACAACGCCACCGATAGCATGTAGAAGTGCTTGAACCAGCTGTGAGGAACTTTCATCGAGGCAAAGTAGTCCAAAGTCTTTTCCAGAACATTCTGCTCCCTGTGTGGGTGCCTGTTGTTACCGGCCAGCGCATCTCGAGCTCCATAGACGAGGAAACGATCTCGAAGCGCGGGAATGGCATAGATGACAAGGATTGCAAAAGCCGATAGCACGTAGCCAATTCGTAGAGCAGTGATTGTATCCATAGTTGTAGGAATATGGAGCACTTGCATAATGATTATAGGAGCAGGGGAGCGCTGCCATGAAAGCACGGTTGTCAGTCGAAATCAATGGTCGAGCGAAAGCCTTAGAGTCAAGACCATCTCTTCATGCACACTCGCGCGAACGGCGTAAGCAAAAGGTTCACCTAGCTGTGCCCAGCGTCTTCCTGCATTGGTGAAGTTGACTGGAGTAGAGCCGTTGTTTGCTAGACGGTGGTGACCCATTGAAATCCAATCTTAGGACAACCCCTTTAACTATGCCATAGTAAGGATATTGTAGGGTATGCAACAATGACCAATCGCTAACCAAAGCCGCAGCTGAACTGCCCACCCTCCTCAGGTTGCCTTTCCAACGGTCGCAACGTCTCAAACTACAACTTACATAGTCGACCGGTCGAGCAAAGGAGTTTAAACATATACATCTTGCGTCTCCCAGAGGTTGAATCAATGAGTACGATTGGCCTCTCATCGATTCCCTGAGCCAGCAACAACTACTTGTCAAGAAAAGACCGGCCTTGAAGGTCGACAATCAGCCACGGCAGACAAAGATGATTCTCAGCTTCGGGCTGGAGACGTCAATGGAGTCATGATTGATGTGAATGGATCCTCTGCATCCAATGCGCCGGCCAGAGAGAATGCGCCGAGGCTGTCGAGAGAAGAGGCACCAGCCAACGATACTCCGTCTCCACATGGCAAGATGGCAACAGCTTCACCAGAGACACAAAGCGACAACATTGAGATCGTTAGGAGCAACCCAGACAATGCAGGATCAGATGGCGACTCTGAAGCCGAAACGCTAATTGAGTCTCCAGAGAAACGGAGACTGAAGATAGTGGAGAATGCGCCCAGACTGCAACCTACCAGCGAAAACGGGAGAGATAGTGGAGGTGAGATCGAGCCTACAAGCTCGCAGTCTAGCGACAGCAAAAGTCGGAAGCGAAAACGATCGGATGATGAGAGCAAAGGTGTATTTCATCGACCTTCTAGCCGGCGTAGCTCACCGCTCTCCTCCCCTATACTGGATGCACCATCTGCCAACGAATCCGAAACGTCCTATTCCCACCCAAATGCATCGCCCACGACATTATCAGCATCTCGACGACATGACGCATCCGACAAAGACTCGAAGGAGGCAGATCAGAAGCAGAATGCCGTGAGATCCACCGGGTTGAAGCCCCAGAAGCGATGGAAAAGTGAGGTTGAAGAAAATCAGATTCGACCATCTCGCCGAAAACATAGTCCAGACCCTGGTGGCACAGAGCGGAGAGAGACGAGATCAGCCACCTATCCACAACAAGATTCTACGGAGCGATCAATTTCACCAAGGCCCGGAAGAGAGCACAAGCGAGTCACCTCTGTACAATCTATCCAAACACTAGCGTCTCACAAGACAAGACGAATACCGGCCCCTTTGAACACCAGGCGCAATCATTCCTCTGATCGATCGTCTGAGGCATCTAATTCTCCTGTACCAAATCGACCTCACCTGCACAAACTTACCTCCAATGACTTCGACGCTACTTCGCCTGCCAAAGTGATGGCAAAGAAGCTGCGCGACAGGCATGGACGAACGTTTCTCGCTCAAGCTTGCACGGACGACAAACTGGACCGGGTGAAACAAGTTTACGAAGAAAGGCCCCAGGACTTGAACATTGCAGATAATGCTGGCAATACACCTCTTCAAATCGCGGCGCTCCAAGGGTACGTTGAGATTGTGGAATTTCTACTTGAAAAACATTGCGAGGTGAACACAAGAAACCTTGAGAGGGACACGCCTCTGATTGATGCGGTCGAGAACGGTCACGTCAAGGTTGTCAAGTTGCTGCTTGAACACGGCGCTGATCCACGGCTCGGCAATGCCAAGGGCGAAAAGCCTATAGAGCTCGTTGATGAAGCTGATGACAAAATACGCGAAATGCTCGGCGACGCCAGATACAAGAACGCCAATCGAAGGCAGTCAGAAGATCAGGCCTCCCTCACCCATGTCAGGGAAGGCTCGTCTCGTGCAGCTTCCGCAGCAAGTCCTCGCGACTCACCTCCGGTTCATGGTCCGAAGAGTCCTCCTCCGTTACAACTGTCACGGCGCAGAGCACGAGAGCAAACCAGAAATGATCTCTTGTGGCAAGCAAATACCCCAGAAAACTTGACCAAACTTGCTGGCAAAGGCGATACTGAAGGGGTTGTCAATATCCTGAACATCTTGAACAAAGCATCCCCAGAGGCGCTGATTGCTGCTTGCAAAGGAGGGCACGATGTAGTGTTACAGCTACTTATCGCCATGGGTAATGCGGACCCCGATCCAGAGCCGGTTGTGTCACCTGATCAAAGGGGAGGATACAATACTCCTATGCTGGCAGCAATTGGAGAGGGGAACATCCAAAGCATCAAACTACTGACCGAACAGGATGGCTTCAACCCTACACGAGAATTCAGAGGGCGCACTTATTATGAAATCGCGGAGGAACGCAGAGGCGATGATTGGAAAAAGGAGTATGATCTCCTCAAGGCAGCATATGAGAGCTATGTGAAGAAGCACGCGAAGCATACTTCGCCCCAGAAATCTCGAGAAGTGGAGCGTCGACGTGCAAGAGATTCATCCTCACCTTTCTCCAAACGGACGAAAAGTCCACCCCGAAGCCAAACCGATTCCTATAGTCGCAAAGACAGTAGATCAATGGATGCAAAACGATCAGAACTTCGTGATCATAACCGTGGAGATCATGCAATCGCTGTGTCATCCGACCACGATCGCAGGACGCCCCAGAAAGCCCACAAAACCCGACGAAGTCGAAGTGATGCCCCTAATCTGAACTCAGAAGAAGAGGTTCCCAAGAAAAGGCGTCTCATCTCAAGAAGGGAGCATATGAAGAGTACCAGTTACCCTACCAAAGAATCTTCTGGTGACGAAAATGATGTTCCAGGGCAGCATGAGAAGGACCAGATTTCAGCCAGACGGCGGCGAAGCAGTGTCGCAGCAGAAACCCCTCGAACCTCCGAAATATCCAGGGTGAAGAAACGCTCTCGTCGAGCACTTTCCGACAGCAGCCCAGAAGAGTCAAGGTCCATCAAGAAGAGGATGTCGAGCCAGGACATTGGGCAAACCCCTTTGAAAGAAGCAAAGATTCTTGAAGACGTTGACAATATTTTCCATCAAAGCCAACATGATCCAATCCAGAGAACACATACTCCCGAGTCTTTCGTTGGTAGGGTTGATGCTAAAACAGCCCGTACGTCAAAAGAGATGGAAAAAATGCATAGGGAAGCCGAAGAACGGAAAGAGATCGATAGAATCAAGAGGATAAAGGAGGAACAAGAGGCTGCTGAGCAGCTCGCCAAACAAGAAGAGATGGAACGTGTAAAGGCGGAACAAGAAGCACAGCTTAGAGCCGAGGAGGAGAGAATAGCTGTAGAAAGGAAGCTCGCCGAGGAAGCAGCTGCCAAAAAGAAAGCGGATGAGGAAGCCCTTGCCCGCAAGAAAGAAGAGGAGGAGCGACAAGAGCGGATGCGCAAAGAAGCCGAAGAAAAACAACGACGAGCAGAAGAACGCAGACAGCGAATACTCCGTGAGAACGAACAGAGGCGAATGGAGGCCTTACCGAGGCTCCTCTGTAAATCCGCCAAACTTCTCGACCAGAATAGTGCCGAAGCAAAAAGTCCAGACTTCTTGCAAAAGTTCCTACCGCTTTTCACCGTTAAAACTCGGCAGATCGATCCTTACTGCCACGGCGATGTAGCAGATGAGGATTGGTTTCCTGGGTTCCAAGCCGCGCCGCTACTGGCTGCAAAGAATCTAGGTCTGGAGCATTTCACGCACTGGGAGAAACGAAAGGTCAATGATCGGGAGCGCTTATGTCTCTGGAAGGTGGCGCGAACGATGCTCATTCAGGGAGATGACGATTTGGCCATTTTCAACATGTCGATCGAGCAGGCATTGCAGCTGGATCGGGAGACGCAACCAAAGTTCGAGGCTATGCAGCCGCTTGTTTGGGTGAAGGTCAGAGAATGAATTCCTCCTTGTTTGAACATGATGTTAACATGGTGAACAGCTATCTGACTTCCGCGAACGGTTGCCACTCCACCCATACCTGCACGGCTTGCCGATGAAAACGCAGAGGATAGGCTTGCAGCCACCAAAGCCGACTCAGCAGCCTCCTCCCGCCGTCCAGTCGCCAAATGGTCTGTACATGTCTGGCGTGAATCCGAGCGTCAATGGCATACTTCTGGATGGCGTTGGAGGAATGAATGGGTATCATTATTAAGCGTGCGCGGGGACGCCTCCTTGCTGGGGGCATGTAAGCGTATGGCGTATATTATAGCTGTAGTTGAGCTTGTGGTCTTCCCTTGCGTGGGCAGGCTCATCTACACAGATATCGTAGGTAGAGACAGCAAGACCGGAATGAAGGTCCAAGAAGCAATGCTCAAGGTGGTGCTTGCTGGAATATAAGATGACAGGTGCACTAGCACCTTCAGACTTTGGGAATCTGGACTCAAGTTCCATGTGAGGAGAATAGTCTTCTGCATCACTGTGCTAAGTCTTATTGCTTACCCCTGCTAATTAGCCGCCACTTCAACCTATAAGCCTGATCTGATTGTCAAAGCGGCAAATGATTGGCAAGAGTTAAGGTTGATGTGACCTCCTCACTAGAAGGCTTGGTAGAAAGTCCTGTTTTGCAGCAAGGCTGAAGACAAAACATATACCACAATTCCCAATGGACGAGGCTGGCTGTCTATCGAGCACTCATTTGCTCAGTTTTTCCTCGCCTACCTGCGGTGCGCAATGACCCCGGTTGCAGGTCTTGTAACAGGCGTGGTAGTCGCCATGACACACTAGTGTCCAGATTTTCGACTTTGTTGATTCAAGTAAAAAGTACGGGATGGACTATGAACTACTTCGTGTCAAAACAGAGGTTGAGAGAGTTCGACCATTGGCCAAGGGAGTTTCAGCAGGTCTCAGCGAGGTTGAGCAGGAAAGGCCAGGTCCAGATGCTCGATTCAATCGAGCAGATATTCACGAAACTGTGCTTCGAGTTCTGGGCTGCGTTCACCACGTCTTCGCAAACCCTATATGGCTTTCGAACAATGGTGCCTAGCGCATCAAATGAATCAGGTGGCGACAGTTCTCCGACAGGGTCAAAGTTAGTCCTGGACGTTATCCATAAAGCGGGCTTACAGTAGTCTACGTTGGTTGGCGAAAAAGCGACAGAGGACAACACCCTTGGGAGGGACACATGTGGTACGGGCAGTTTTAGACAAGAAGAAGTGCCAAGTGATGGTGCTAGTGATCAAGGATTTCAACGACAACTTGGAGAGCTTGTTCGCGGATGCGAAATCTAAAGGTGCAATCCTAATGAGCGGTGATATCGACCAAAGCGAGGAACCCCAAGCCTTGCACTTACTTCAGGAGGCGACTGCCGATGAAGGTGAGAACATTACGGAGACGGCGAGTATGAAGCTCGGGACACTCCAGTCAACCACCGCCGCGCCATCTGCCTTACCCAAGGATGCGCGGATAATTGCTAAAGAGGCAAACGCTATCCCGCAAGGCTACGCAGATGGCACTAAGGTGATTACTCATAGGAAGGAGCCCGAAGCAAAGATCGATGAGCTACCTAAAGCATCGAAGGCACTCGAGCTCTATATCGTAGGGAAGAGTAAAGGTGTTCTAACCGTGAGCCACCTATACGAACACTGTTGGCGTCTGTCTGACCCTGCTTATCCAGTTGTAAGCACTATAGCTTGCTTAAGATAGAGCAGTCATTGCGGCCACTAGTTTCTTACAGCCTACCTAATCGACGGCACGTATTCGCTGATTTCACTTCGACGTCAAGCGTTGCGACCGAGTGGAGTGGACGCAAAAAGGAGATTATTGATATTCGGAACTTTCTCTGGCAGATTATCTCAGCAAAGAACTGACCTTACTCTTGGAGCATCATTCAGATGCTTCGCTCACCAGATTCACACCTAAACCTTGGCTTCACTGATCATTGCCAGCTTATGTTTCAGGAATGTTGAGATCATCCTTACGGATACCAAATTTCGATGGCAGACGTCAAGAAACCAAAGATTCTGGCGGAGCAAATCAGGGCAGAATATTTGAAATGGCAGAGCAATGAAGCCATGAAAACAAGCAATTTCGTAAAGCAATTCACACATACACCGGAGACAAGAAGATCAATCTTTGAAGCGAATTTTATCCCGTTAACAGGTTAGCCGCATTTTTGTCTCTGCAGAAGTTTGAAGACGCTCGCGACTATGCTTACATCGTGACGCAGCATGGCCCCAAGTATGCTAATGCATGGGCTCGACTTGGAATTGCCGAACTAAAGCTTATAATGCGGATAGAGTACGAAACGCGTATTAGCGCGCGATCGACCGCGGAAGCAGCATAGCTATGCACTTGATAAGGCAAGCACTTGCGGACGGGAAGACCACCGATGAAGCGGACCGAAGTGCGATCTAATTGGAAATGAACAACAATACAAAGGACGTGCTCCGGAAGAATTACCTTGACCAGGAAGGGGTTATCATTAGCAAAACACCCGAATTGCACTCCCGTGTCGACGAGTAGCAGATTGAAGGTTTGCTCCTTTCCGCCCAGCGTATACAGTGGCCCGACTTCAATGAGCCTCGCGATTTTGTTGAAGACGTGTACAGTAAGTAACCTACGTAGAAGCCAGATCGCCAACCTTCACCTGCACGACTACTTATACGATTAGCACACCAATCTTGACCCAGTCTGATGCCCTGTTCTGGTTGGGCGGTGGCTAAGCACTTCCTTTCCGGCTCCACTTCGGCTCAGCCTTCACTCACTCAGCATCGCCACAGCTCGGATCTTGATGTCCTCTACGTAGTACTCATCCTCGTGCTCAGACTCCATCCAAGTGCTACTCAGGCTGCTTACTTCACCTCACCCTTGCTCAGTCCCAGTTTTGGGTCCTTACTATTGTTAGATACCTGCTCTTATTCATGTCTGCTGTCGTAGTCGTATGAATTTGATTAACTCTACACGATGCTCAGCTAGAGCTCCATTTAGGGACCTTAGGCCTTGGCAGCCTACTAGTACTACTAGTAGTATGTTCCGTACACTCGAGTGCGGCTAACAAATACTCCTTCCCCACAAGGAGTAAGTTACGGAGTACTTAGTAGAAAATAATAATATAACTAACAATTTATACTGAGAATTAGCGAATTTCTATATGTAATGTTCCGCGTTTAGACTCTTCTGCGAAGACCTTTTTTGGCGCTGTCCACGGTGATGGATTTCTTGTCTTATCCTCCCAGCCGCTTGAGAGGTAATACAGCCTGGTACTATGTAAAGGTCAAGTGCCGAATCCAGCAACGGCTTACACGTCGTAGAATTCGTCCCTATTTCTGGTGGAAATGGAGAAAACCGGGTCTAACTCTGTCTTCACGAAGGTCTACTTTGTGGTAAGTCAGCTTACTTGATGAAAGCACTACTGTTTCTTCAGAGAAGCAGGCAAGAAGAAAAGCAGATTTCTAGAAGACGATACAGAAGGATGAACTTCTTTCTCGCGGTCAATGATGAGCCCTTGTTTGTCATTGGCCGGGTTATCCCTCCACCGGGAGATAGAGGTGTTGAATGGATCATTTAGCGCCATTATTGATTGAACAATCACGCCCAGTCACCAACGAGCTAATACTAATACTACCAAATATCACAAAGGCTCAGATCGACAACACCAGGTCCTAATTAGATAGGATGGTGCTTGAAAAGGCTATACTAATAGTGAGGAGATGAAATGAATTAGGTTCAATTCCTAATAGTGCTTTAATAGTTCAGTCGATTTGTCTCCCTTTCTAGAAGCGCACTATCTGTCTACAACTTCATCACTATGGAACAGTATTAGAACAGCATTAGTACTCAAATTCAGATCTCAAAGGGGCTTGAGCGGCGAGGAGGCCGCTTGTGAAAATTGGGCTAGTGAGGGGATAAAATGAATTAGTTCAATTCCAAATAGCGCGCTGATGGTTCAGTTGTTTTGTCTCCCTTTCTCTAATCAGTTGGCGCAGCCTTGAGGCGGCCCACTAGAAAAGCTATGCACGTGAGCAGCGTACAATAGCGCGAACCCTGACACATCTCAAAGGCTCTGATCGACAAGAATCACGAACGACGCCATTGAAAAGAGTTCTGGGCCCTCTAAGGCGTCCGTGTGTGGCGCGTTAGGAAAGCCAATCAAGAAGCCAGAAGGTGTAGCTGGTGCCCTTGCCAAATTACTACGTACTTCGTTCTGTCTTGGTCTCCTCACTAACGTTTACGAAATAGGATGTCGTCTCTGAAGGAAGTCTACACGGTCCTTCGAGCTGTAATGTGTCACCAGCTCGATCTTTCTCCCTCGGAATTGCAGGAGGAATCAGGACCGTGGTAATTTGTGCCAAAGAGCAGACAGTAGCTCAAGAAAGGCTGTCTGTCGTCGAAAAACAGACGCGAGTACTCTAAGTCGCGCAGTGGAAAAGGGGGAAAGAGGAACCGCACATGACTTCAGGTCAAGTCTAGGTCAAGTCTAAGACTTCTAATCCAATGAGCTTGTGCACTACTAATCTGGGCTTTTCGTTTGTGGTGTTCTGCAGTACGAAACTATGACACAAAACAAGGCTGACGCAGGTTCCCTTTTGTTATACTACGTATGTGGACCAGCTACTAGTCGGGCCCTCCGACCTCACTTCAAGGCGTACCTAAAAATTCTATGTCGCCTATTGAGATGTATAAAGAGTGTGATAACGTTACACAGAAGAACGTGGGCAATTGCTATTGAAGTTGAAGGCCAGGCCGAGTTACCAAGCGGTTGGGTGTGATTCCAAGACCTAGAGGGGTGTGTGTCACCCGTCAGCCCTTACGAGTGCTCAATCAGGCGAACTTGGACGCTCACATGGCTCGACTTCTTGAAGAATTAAGCCACTATGGCGAAGGAGCGTGATAGGCCCCAGCCCCCTCTCGTAATGAGGATTGTAGGGTTAGCTGGAGGGTGTTCAGGCAACCAGCGTCAGCTGAACAAGATTAAACTGGAGAAAAAGAGAGAGTCAACCGGACCCCATCCTTCCTATAAGTATCTGCCGTTTCCTCTGGTAGGAAGACAATTTCTCTAACTTTGCATCCTAGTTGAATTCGAACGTATTTTCCCAGACATATAATATCAAGTCAGGAACAAAGAATGTTCCGAGTCCAGGGCGGACACATGCAGGGCAGCCAGTCATCCCGCTCAGGCAGCGGCGACTCGAGCTCGCTACCTGACACGACATCTGGACCTAAGGTCGATAACAGCCGCCAGCCAACAATCCATTATGATGTCGTTGCATTTCCAATCACGATCTACTACAACCGGGAAGGGGATCATGACCACAACGGCATGATATTCGCGCTGTACGACAACCTCCTAATACTGAAATACATACGGGCATTGGCGCGGGTGGGACAGCCGCGAACAGACGGTTCCCCTGACGACCTGCTGGAGGATCTGTCCGCAAAGGCCTATGAACGCGCCGGAAAGATCGGAGTCGAGCTACCTGTGACGCCTCAGCAAGCCAAGCAACCGCATCCGCTGGTGCGGCCGTTGGTGCTGAGGGCGCGTCAGGGCGAGAAGATGACGGTCACGTTACACAATTGCATCCGAGACCGAGCAGTTGGCCTGCACCTCGTGGCCGGTGGATACGATGTGGTCACTGCAGACGGCTCGGACGTCGCTTCCAATCCCTCAAGCTTGGCTCCACCCGGGGGCACATGGGAGTACATCTGGTCCTGTGATCACGAAGGGGTTTTCCCATTCCATGACGGCGGCAACTACTCGGGCGACGAGAATGGGACCAACGTGCACGGCTTGTTTGGTGCACTTGTTGTTGAGCCACCGGGCACGACGTGGCGGGATCCCACAACCGGCCTCGCTTCACACGGGCCAGATGGAAGCGGGCGCTTTGAGCAACTCGATGGACTCTATCTTGACGTGCTCCCTGCTGGACAGAGCCCGAGAGATATGCCTGAGTCGGACACGTCATTGGCCGACTATGAGTGGCCCCCGCCGCGGGAGTATGTCTGCTTTGAAAAGGAGGCCCACCGCGAGTTTGTAGTCTTCTTCCACGACGAGCCTGAGTTTGTGCCCGCGCACGGCGCGCTAGAGCCGAGTCCCTGCGATGCGCACGGCAACGATCACCGAGACATCGCCCACGGTGACGGTGGTGGCGGGCACGACAATCTACCGATCATGCCCATTTCATACCGCGCCGAACCCATGATCAATCGCGAGAGGACTCTGTGGCGGCTGCTTCGGACAGGACACCTTCTGGAGCGTCCAGTGCTCAACGAGGAGCAACACCACAGTTCGTGGATGTTTGGCGACCCTGTTACTCCCATTCTTCGCGCGTATATTGGTGATCCGGTCCGCATCCGCCTGGTCCACGCCGCAGTCAAAGAGACGCATGTCTTTCATCTGCACCTCTACGAATGGCATGCGGTGCCACAGGATGCTCAATCGCCGCGCATTGATGCTATCTCCATCAGCCCGCAGACTGGGCATACGATTGAACCTCTCTGGGGCGCCGGGAACCGTCACCAGGTTGCTGGCGACGTGATCTGGCACTGTCATTTGTACCCGCACTTTCATGAGGGTATGTGGGGTATGTTTCGTACATTCGAAACTCGCCAGTACGGCCAGGATGGTCAGCACCTGCAGAGCGACGACCCCGTATACGCTGGCCGTCGGATCGGGCGCTATCCAGACAACACGCGCATTGACGCGCTTCTTCCTCTGCAGGGACGCAAGCCTCCACCTGCCCCTACCCCTGATCAACCCGGCTATCCGCTATACATCCCCGGGACCGTGCGACAGAAATCGCCGAGGCCGCCCTGGCCTGATCGCGAATTCAAACAGGAAGAAAAGCTCGGTAATGATCGACCCGGCCAGCAGTTTGAGCTGCCCTGCCACGTCACGTCTCTTTTAGGGGCCGACATGCCGCCGGACTTTGACTACCGCCCATTTCCGACAGCACTTGAGAGGAAGGCATTTAACGAGTTTCCGGTGCCAGGTGAACTGTTTACCCGGAACCGCCTGGCTAAGCAGCAACAGCAGGAGTGGGTCGACGACTTTCGCTTCAGGAGGAACACGTCCGCCCAGGTGTGCCACGATGTTGTTGTTGCGCAGCGGCGTATCGACTACAACAGCCACGGATGGCACGACAAGCACGGCCATCTCTACTATCTGCCCACCGAAGGGGACCCGGGCGACCGGCCTGGCCCTATTGAGCCACTCTTCTTCCGCGCGCAGCACGGCCAGATCCTCAATCTCACATTGCGCAACGACACGCCGGAACGGATCGAGGAGACGGAGTTTGACCACGCATTCCCGCCCTGTGAGGCGCTGCCATGGGAGGGTGAGTGCTCTCTCCACGTCCACATGGTCAAATTCGATCCTATCTGCGCCGACGGTGCGAGTGTGGGCTGGAACTACATGAGCGGAGCCAGGCACGGCCGCAAGATGGTGTACCGTTGGTGGGCGGATCAGGAGTTTGGCACCATCTTCTTCCACGATCACTTGTTCGCGAACTATCGGCAGAAACACGGGCTCTTTGGTGGCCTCCTCGTTGAACCCGCCGGCTCGAGCTTCCTCCACCACATTGAGCCCGGTCGCCAAGCGCCACCCCAACGACAGCCGCGAGCCACCATGGTTCCGTGAGTTCTGCATCGGGATCGCTGACTTTATCCCCGCGTGGGACCGGCGCCATCGTGCACTCAACCCTCCCGCCCAGCCCGGTGGGCACGGCGACCAGGGCGTGATGGGCCTGCACTATCGTAACGCACCGGCGACCCGTCCAATTGGTTTAACTCACGTGTTCATGGTGATCCAGACACCACCGTCTTCAAAACCTACGCCGGGGACCCCATCTGGATCAGGCTTCTGCAGGGGTCCCACGAGGAGTCGCATAGCTTCCAGATTCACGCCCTGCGTTGGGTGCGCTTCCGCGAGCAGATTGACTCCATCATCCGTAACCAACAGACGACCGGCATCGCCGAAGCATTTACCTTTATCAACCAAGCGCCTCTTACTCCCGGCGACTACATGTACAAGCTGTCTGGAGCTGACGACCTGTGGCTCGGCTGCTGGGGATTGATCCGCGCATTTGACCGGCCTCCTGCCGGCTCCCACTTCGATCTCGTCACACTCGCTTCCGTCTCCACAGATGGACCAGGCCAGGAGCAGATTGAGGAGTGCGCAGCCTCCTCTCAGCCGTCAGCCCCCGCGTCGAAAGAACGCCGGTTTCGCATCCAAGCCAGACCCGCGAACCTGTTGTACCGAGACGACATCATCGACCCCCACGCACTTGTCTACGAGGTGGTCGACCACTTCACCTCGCATTGCCCGGCCATCGATCTCAGCACGCCGGAACGCCTTGAACCCCTTGTGCTCTGGTGCCAAGAGGGCGACGATGTTGTGGTCGAGCTTAAGAACTGCCTACCTAACAACCTTCGCGTCGAGCCCTTCGCGCCCGAGGTGCCCCTAGAACGACGCGATCGACCCGTATCCCGGCATGTGTCACTGCATGCCGACCTCGTCACATACGACGTGAGAATGCATGACGGAGCCACCATCGGATTGAACCCACCTCAGACTGTGCCACCCGGCCAAGTGCGGGAGTACCGCTGGAATACCAGCCGCCCTAGCAACAGCCCTGATCCTCTCGGACCTATCCTGCTTCAGGACATGGCCGACTTCCGCAACCACCGCCACCACGGCCTCGTTGGTGCCCTCGTGGTGTTGCCCGCCGACGCTATACCACACCCTGTTTTGCCCGGTGAGGCGACAGCCGATCTGGACGTCGAGCGGTGGCACGGACCACGCATGACCGTAACGCGCAATGGCGACGACCCTACAGGAATAGGCGGTATAACCGAGGAGATGGTGCTGCTGATGCAGGATGGTCTACGACTGTTTCTCAACGCCAACGGCAAGCCGGGCTTCCCGCTCCCCGACCCCCCCGCCGAAGAAGCCGGTGAGGCAGAGCACGAAGACCAAGGCCAGAAGGGTTTCAACTACCGCACAGAACCCATTGGCCCGATCTTTGACCCACGGGGCAGCGATTACTCACTCAATAAAGAACCGGCCACACCAATCTGGCAGATGCCCGCGAGACGCAAGGTGCGCCTCCACTTAGTCGGTGCGCTGGACAAACCGCGAGCCCATAGCTTCACTGTCCACGGGGTTGTATGGCCGGAGCACCGCTTCCGATCGAATGCTGGAAGGCAAACAGCACCAATGGTCTCCTCTGAATCCGCCATCACATGCGGCACGGTCAGGACGTTCGAGTTCACACCAACACACCAAGGCGACCATGCCTACCGCAATGGCGTGCTCAAATGGGCAGTACCCCAAGGCATGTGGGGAGTTCTTCGCATCCGCCCGGCTGAGGACAACTCCGACCACGAGCCGCCCTGCGGCTCCACCGCCGATGGGCCAGGATCATTCTCGTCGTCGTCATCCTCGTCGTCGGACTCGGCGTCGGACTCGTGATCGTACAGTGGCATATCAAAGGCATGCACGTGAAGGAGGTGAAAGGCTGAGACGACGGGGCTACTCTCGAGTCGAGAAACGGGCTGATATTCACCAGGGCATGAATCATTCGGCAGGTCGCATAGGCAGATCTCACTGCATCTCAGATAGAGAGATTCTCTATCCTTAGATTATGTGAACATTAGAAAGTGCACTCCTTTGCCGCCATTGCTGACAGTGCTCTACGTCTGCGAGTCGTATCCTATTCGTCACGCTAGATTGTCACGTCGCTCACAACCCTGCCTCCTGACAAGCCAAGCGTAGGTGTGAGTGACAAGGGTTGAGATCTGGACGCCGGCAATCTGAAGTCTGAAGGACATGAAATTAGGCTCTATCAGTTGGGAGAGGGGCTAGAATCCGGCCCTCATAAGACGCTCTGGGTAGAATTCAGTTAGACGCTCAGGGTAGAATTCAGTTGATGCTCAGGCCTGCTCAGGCTCAGAACAACCTCCTTGCACAGGGCTGCTGATTCATCGCTCAGGTTACAGTCACGTGCACTCAGGTCACAAACTGGAAATGGAGTATGGAGTTTGGAGTTTGAAGAGGTCAAGATTCGGGTGTGAGTATTGTGGTATTGGTATCACATGAGGTCCACCTGCGGGAGATGCCGCGGTACCGGAGGAATATCTGTCCAGTTGAGCGGCTGAAAGATAACACTGTAGAGTGCTTCGAGGATGACCATGTCATGGTCATCAATGCGGCTGGAAATGGGGCGAAGGTGCTGGCGCGGGCGTGATCTGCAGACAGCCAGGAATGCTGTCTTTCGGAGAAGTAGGCGGTCGTACTATGTTGGTGCGGTGAGGGCATCGAGTAAGGCTGACCTGGGGTTTGGACTTTTGATATGGTTGGCCTGGTTGTTTGGCTGATTTGATGGACGGGCCGCCCTGGACAGGTACGGCACAAACAGAGGAAGTATTTCCTATAGCACATCGAGCTACCGCTGGGCCGGCGATGTCGCATCCAGGACCATATCTCCAATCGTCATGCGCTACTTGGTAGAATGTCCTCGCATGTCGGAGCTTCACCGGACATTTGAAGATACCATCCCTACTCGAGAGCTTGACTACCTATATCATGGATCAATGTGCTCTGCATCATTTAGGACCCTTTAGGATAATCTCAATGTTTGAGAGCGAGAAGCCGCGCTGATGGGACAATGCCTACTGCGAGTTTTTATCTTCACAATCTCGACACTCCATTCTCATACGTCATGAGACGTTTTTCTTGCAACAAGAACTCCACAAAACCACCAAGTCGGTGGGTATTGGTCCGCATCCGATGCACAGATCACCAAAAGGCGAATCAACCTCTCCGTCGTCAGACCTTCGTTTACCCCCCTTCCCCCCTTCAGCTACCGCTGATCGACCCTTCATGAGCGCTCTTAAGCCCGACCCTCTCCTTCCATTGCAGGCCTAAACCATGATTTGGGGATGCCATGCCCACTGAATCTGGGAGATTGGAGAGGGTGACCCAACCTCCGGGAATTCTCCGGAGAGTAATGATACCTCTCCACCGCCGCACCCGCTCCTGCTGCTGATTCTTCTCCTTCTACATGTTGTTGATAGTGCAGGTAGTTGCCTCCCGTTCCTTCTCCTCCTCCTCCTCCTCCTCCTCCTCCTACCACGCTAGTGCCTACCGTTTTCTCGCTAGCGTCGTTGAGGCTTCCATACGGATCCTTCTGTTGTCGAGCTTGATTCTTGCAGTTTGGGTATAGGGCCATTTTGGGGTTCGAAGACGGCGAGGACGAGAAGGAATTCTGCCGTCTTTTCTGAAAGACTGATGACATGGAGGAGTACCATCTTTTCACTCTTGTGACAGATGGCAAAAGAGGGCTTTAGGTTGGGAGGGAAGCGCAGATGACCGCGATGGAGAGTTGGATTTGCAGCCAGTGTCTGAGCCTCTGAGGAGGGTTAGGTTGACTTTGATGAGAGTCAGTATTGATAGAGGGCAACGATAGGGGTGAAGGGTTCAAAAAAACATACGTGTGTTGGGCCTGTAGACTATCGCGATTCGAATGAATCCAATCACACCAACACTGTGATTTATGAGGATTTGAAAAGACAGTGGTCAGATACATGAGCACCTACAAACCACCCAAAGCGAAAATAAAGCAAATCAGGATTCGACGTCGTAGTAGCAGATGAAGCCCTCTGATGATACCCACTGGCAGAGCAACATTAAGGAAGTCAAGAAATGAATTCGGGCACTCCACGGCGACCATTAACACTTGGATGTTGTAATAAGACCCTGGTCTGAGAGGAATCCAGGATTTGTCGACAGAGATACATTTTAGCGGAACTGCTACCGTGGCAGCAATGAACCAGAGCAGGCATAGCACACCTACTATGGTGGTTGCAGTGTAGAATCGCTTCTCGAGATAAAACAATCGAGGATATAAATAGAGTACGCTTAACTTGGCTGCTGTGATTGGTATTGTGCTCAGTAAGGCGGTCAAATATACACCCCTAGAAGCTGTCAGATCAATATATGCAAGAATGGTGGTAACTCATATGACCTTAAGATAATCCGTCATGATTGGAGGGGGTAATAAGAGAACCTTATATCCAGAACCATGTTGAGCGGCTGAGCATAATGTTAGCATGATAAAGAGACATTCGGGTGATCAGACATACTCCAGATCACTAACCCCCATCCAGGCGAGAAGAGTTACCAGACTGGTGCTTGCCCACCAGTCGTCGGGTCCATAACGTGCTTTTCCCCTCGATCTTGCGATGAATCGTAGGACCACAGACAAGAGGGAGAAAGAGCCAAGTACTGCTGCCAGAGTGTTAAAATTTCCACTGCGATCATTGTATTGCGGCATAACGACGGGTTGTGTGCTCGGTGTTGATGGGAAGCAAGTATACAGTGGCAGCCCGAGGTATAGTACACGTCGTTCTTTGGAACCTATTGTATAAGGTATGAGTTCAAGGGAGAGGAAAGGGAACAGCGCTGATTCGTTTGAGGCGCAATATATGGGATAACGATTCCCTCTATACCCTCATCCCGGCCCCCAAAGCAGTATTTCACTTTCCAGCTCCCGGCCCACCTTTTGAGTGCTCATCCAGCGTCAAGCTGCGCAACGCCGTCCGCGTAGACCATGTCGTGAGGCAGAGCCAATGACAGCTGCATCACGCCAAGCACGAATGATTGGATTTGATGAACACCATTCCATCTGCACAAGCTTCAATCATTCTATTTCGAGGCACATGTGCTGGGAAAATGATTGTGCGAATCGAGACCAAATTTGACTTTACATTTTCTAGCTCAAGCCACCCTTTGCCCAAGATCAAAAACAAAGCTCGCTTGAAAATAATGCTGCACTGTGAGAAGGCGGTGTCTCTGCGCCACAGCTATGTGCTAGAAGACAGCTATGCTTTCCAAACCAGAAAAAAAAACCATTCGACTTCTGGAAGTTCGAAAGTTTTCCTGGCCTCCCAGCAACCACGTCGCCAAACTGCCACGGGTTTGTGTTGGAATTGGCCGTACGCGTACAGCCAACTCCTTGGCGTCACCTGGCTGCGCGCCTCAGTAGATTAGCCTGCTCCTCCTTCTGAGACAGAATCTGCAGGATAGATAATTCAGTTCATCCACCTCATCAGTTTGGCCCCTCTCATATTCTCTCACCGTCCACATCATAGTGACTGTCAGTCTCCTTTTCGCGTCATCAAGAGCCTAGCGGCTTCGATGGCAGGCAAAGTCCTCCACCCCGACGTCGGATGCAAATCTACGTGGGAACCAGGCCAAAACCTGATCGAGAGAGAAAAAATCCGACTCACCTGACTTATGTCCGTCGAGTTGTGGTGGCAAGGATTCGAAATATAATGATTTCGACCCTGGGGCCGGTAAGAAGCGTGGGTTACGGCGCACTATCATTGGGCTGATGTGCATCCAGCTTCAGTTTCAGATGCAACATGACCCAAATAGGCAAATGGTATTTCCCCTAATGAGATTACTCAACGTTTACTAATTATTATACACTTGTCAGTCAGCATCCTAGATGCGCTACTGAATCCATCTCATCATATCCATATTACTAGTAGCTTAACCTCCTAGTCTTCTGTGGCATCATACGACTATAGTTTATACGAAGATTGTCAATATGTGCTGTAAGAGCAGATTGGATGGTTCACCGATAAAATTTCAACGTCTGAGATGTCGTACCAACCTAACAGTGATCCGCCGTACTACGTGGTACGGCCTGGGGCTCCATGGCCTGCATGATACAGGCTCAGAATCAGCTGATCTATGAGAGATGAAACCCTAACTTATGGATCCTTCTCTGCCGATTGGTTATGTAATCGTCCGCAATCCTTGAAAGCGTTTTGTTTTGGCAGTCTGTGCTCTATCTCGTAAGCTTGAAGTCATAGTAGTACAAGGCAGCTCGGCCCTCGGTCCGGAGCTGGGTGCCGAAAATAGTGGGACTTCCGTCCCACTCCACTCTATTACTTCTATCTTCAAAATGGTATAGGAAGACCATTTCGCTCATTTACGGCAGCTACTCTTTTGGGCATCGTAGCAATTGCCTTATTGATCTCCTCCAGAGTGATTTTATCCCACTCCTCCTCAATTGCTCGCCGCAGCTCCTCTGGATCAGTAATAAGGCCTCGATTCTTTAGCCTCTGCTTCAACAACCTCCAGATGCTCTCTATAGGGTTCAAATCAGGCGATTCTGGGCAATTAGCTTCTTATTGGATCCCTAAACGAGCTTTGGCCTTTTTGATTTTGTTGTCAGCCTTGCCACGAGTGCCATGAGCATTATCGTTATCCTCTAGAAGTATCCAATCCTTATCCCAATTAGGAGCAATAACTTCTTCTAAAAAAACGAGATAATCAGCTTGAGTAAGCCGTCCACCTCCTCCTGCGCCTGTGTAGAAGTGTAGGGGACTCTTGTAATTCCATCCAATGTACGCAAATACATGCCAAATTTGATTACGCCGTTTCAATCGTTTCGTGTTTCTCTGCCGCGTCAACGATGTACTATAGCTTGACGTTGTAAGCTATATGCAAAATGACATTCGTCACTGTATTTGTACTGCTTGAATTTCTCTAAATCCTAATACCGACGTTCAAATCCCTATATTTCGCGTATCTTGACATTTTTGGAATGAATGTATTTTTTCTGTTGTGCCCTATAGGTGCCCACTCTAAACTGAGCCATATTTCTTTGAATTGCGCGTTCAGATCCTTGAGCTAGGCCAATAGAGCTTGCTATGGCATAATAAGAGGCAGATGCAGCGCGAAATGAGCTATCTTTAACCGTCTCAATAGCCTTACATTGATAGAGTTCTAAAACGCGTTTTTGACCACGATTATAAACGTCATTGCCACAGCGCGTAGATTGTGATTTGAGGATTCGATAGCCTGTTGTTTTTGGTATACCAAGTGATTCGAATAGCTTTTTTCGGGGTAATTTGCCAGCTGTAGCCTACGCGGCGCAAAGAAGTCGCGTACGACGTGGAGTATCGACTATAGTATTTGGCTCACGTGGAGGCTCTGTGGGTATCAAAATTGACGAATCAGGCTGTTGACAGTTTTTTCGACTAGTTTTGCGAATTCTGGCCATTTGTCAGCTGATTTGAATAACAATTGGTTGAATAATAGAAGATAGAAAAAAGGGGGTTGTTTTGAGGGTGGGACGGAAGTCCCACTATTTTCGGCACCCAGCTCCGGTCCATTCCGAGGGCAACTTCAGAGAAGCACAGACCACTGCAACAGCCCTGTAAGGAGAGCAGGTTAGGAAATGAGCTGAGTAACATACCGATATTGTCCTCATTGACTGTTAAAACAGCTCAATTCCCAGCAGTCTCGATAATCTTTATCCTGAGCAAAACTGGAGTCTGTAGTATGCAGGGTCGAGGGAGGTGTCAGCAACAATCTATTTTCAGAACTCGACTTGAAGGGGCTGTTGCTGACTGGGCCCCTGCTAGGCGGAGCAAGGCTGAGGAATAACGGATAGAACTTTATTGACTGCTGTAGCATCCGTACACCAAATGCAACAAGCCTTACATGTTTCATATCACAAGCGCCGACCACTAGCACTACTGCATAGCCACAAGTAAAGGGCAGCTGCTGAACTGCTAACAGTGAATAGGCTTACGATGAGAGGAACTGACGACAAATGCGGAGTCGAACATTTGTATGTGCTCTTTAAACCAAGGTCGGCAGAAAATCTTCGACAAGCCACGATTCATCGAGTGAGGAAGTTGGATGATTGCGACCACTTCGTAGCCCAGGTCATGAACCATACCATTTGCTGACGGCTACCGAAATCATTGATGATAGTGGCAGTGGTGCTGCTGGAGAAAGGTCCGCCAGGGCCGAATTGAGAGACCTGTTTTGCAATACTTGGATCTGTGATGGTAGCTGGGTAATCCCACAACCCTTTTGAACTAACGTCGGCGCCCCTGAGAGATGGTTAGCTCAGCTAAGTAGACCTATGCTGCTCGCCTCTTACGTTCTCAGGTTCGCAGTAGGAAGGCGGACGTGTCGGTAAAGCCAACAAGCTGTTCCACACCAGAATCACACCAGCCAGTATTAGCTATAGCCGTGGTGACACCTGGTCTCTATATTGAGAACGTTCGCAACTCGAAACCGGCTGCGGCACTATACGCCAAGATCAGGGTTCAGATATACATCAAGTTTGGCCATTCAGATACCAAATACCGCTGGTAGTCGTCCAGCTGTTGCCATTGTGCCGTCTTGAAGGCGCTCCTCTAGCCGGGGGAGTTTTCCCAAGCAAGTTCGTTCATGACGATAACACCTCCATAGCTCCCGTTCGTGGCAAAGGGGCTAAGCGTTGGCAGTGTGATTCCAGATTGTGGGGCAAGGACGAGTTGGAAAGGAATGCCATAGTCATTGAGACCCGGTGTCGCCGAGCTTCCGGAAGCAGCAACTCGCACAAACACAAGGATTGTGCTCGACACCGTGGCTGCTGAGGTCAGTGATGCAAACAGAGATCATGCTATTAACAGCGATCGGAGAAAAAGCGACCATAGAAACATGTCAGTGTTAACGATTGGTATATAGAAGTAAAGAGAAGACTGGAAAGCACCAGCAATATAGAACGAGTGCGCAAATCGGGGGAGAAGAAACAATTGACGAGTTAGAAGGCAGAAAACCTCTGATGACTACATGGAAGAGACGTGAATGGGAAGGCGATACTGATTAAGGGGTTCATGTTCGAATCAATGTTGAGCCTAGAGCCATTTCCTATCACCTCCCACCGAAGCTGCTAGCACATAAGAGAAGCAACTGACTTAAGCGTGCTTCCAGGGGAACAAACATTCACTATTCGTTGCGAAAGGGCGAAGGGTGAAAGAAATTCTCAATCATTTGCCACGAGGGGTGCCCTGACCCCTGTGGCCCACTCATGACCCACCGCTATGAAAGGCGCCGTTGACTTTTACGGTGTTCATGTGTATCAGGTAGTTAATTTATTGACACACTTTGGTCGTCATCGTAGCTTGCCACCTCTGCAGAATCAGAACTCTCCTTGAATTACGAAGTGGAGGGAATAAAACTGTGGCTGATGGATGGTAGATTGGACCTCTGGACTGGCCTAAAATGCCTAGGCTTGACAGGTTTGCCCTTACCAGCACTGGCTAGTTACAGTACTGCCCGTCCCAAAAGTGTTGCGAATCCTTGGCGCGACCCAAAAATTGCTGTGCTGGCGGGGCAAAAAAGCGGTCAAAAGAAGGAATCGCCAACTGCGTGGTAAATAGCCGTAGATTTTGCTTGTAAATGCTCAATTTAGCAATAGCTGTGTACTCTGCATCTCCCTATTGAGTTTCAGGATAGAAAACCATGGTGTTGAGCCGCAGTAAGCGTTCAAATGCAGGCAAAGCCCCTCAGCGGCTCGATGAGCCTGCGTTGAGTACCCCGGCGCCCCCCTCTACGCAGTTGAAGCGCTCGAAAAAGGCTGCACAGCCTGCGAAACGCCTAGTGCTCTCGATGAAAAAACCGCAGGCTGCTCAATCCTCCTCCTCCTCCTCTGTTATTTCTGTCTCTCTCCATCAAGAGAAGGCTATCTCTCTTGCCTCAGAGAGTCTAGAGCCTTTATTAAGTGACGACGATGGCTCTATAGCTCAGCAGGAGGAGCAGGAGGATAAGAAGGAGCAAGAGGAACAGGAGGAGGCAGAGGAGGAGGAGGAAGAGGAGGAGGAGGTAGAGGAGGCGGAGGAGAAGGAGATTAGTTTTCAGCCTTATACTATTGAGTTGAGCGTTGTTTTAGGTAAAAAAGCTATCTATAATAGCTTTATTAAGTTGACAAAGCTCAATTTTGAGCATTTTAAGCAAGATGCTTATTAATGTGCCTCTAACGCTGCGTGTAAAGCTAACAAAAGCGCTAAATTTTGTGGATTTAAGGTAAGTATCAAAAAAGGCGCTTAAAAGCCTTTTTTATATACCCTTAATAATAAAGGAGATATATTTATTATTAAGAGTAAGATATAAGAGCTACTAACTACCTTAAAGAGCTTATCTTTACCTTATTTACATATTACTTTAGTAACTAATTTTAAAGCTATTAATAAGAATATTAAAAGTATATATAGTAAAGAAGGCCTACTAATACTAATAGTTTATAAAAGAGCTTATAACAAGGCTAAAATAGCCTTAAATATAAAAAAGTTATATATAATTACTAGTATATACTAGTAAGTAGTTAAAAAAGCTATATAAACTATTATAATTAATTATATAGCAACTCTTAATAAGTGTTATATATATAAGTAATAGAGCTGTCCTAATTTTAGTAATCCTTATTATAATCTGCTAGTTATTATATAATTATATTTAACTTAATAAAGAGCATCTTTAAGTATAAAATTAAGCTATTAAGGATAATCTTAGTATTAGTATAACGTATTCTTTTATATCTCTAGCTTAATAAATAACTTAAGAGAAAGAGAAAGAGCTTGTTAAAAAGCTATAGCCTTCGTTAATTCTATAGGTAATATTAATAGTAATTTTAGTGTCAGCTAAGGGGTTAATACTTAACCTTAATCTTTTTAATAGCGCTTAATAGCAGGATACTCTGCTCTGCAAGTCTGCTAATAGTAAGGGTCAATATAAGGGTTCAGCAACGCTATTAAGGGCTATAACGCCTTTACAGCCTCTTATAATGTTAAGCAGCCTGATTTTATAGGCTAGAGATAAAGATGCTTGCCTTACTATGTTTATTTGCTTGTGAATCAAGGATAGACTAGCTTAACAAGCTAAATTTGAATAAGCATTCAAGAAGTTGGCTAAGCATAACGTAAGGCTCTTAGATATGGCCTCTTTAATAAGAGAAGACTAGAAAGAGATAAGTATTAGTTATAGTATTTACATAAATTTGCTATAGTATAATAAGATATAATATTAATATTATTTAGAGAGTATTAAAAAGGCTAATAACACTCTTTATAATAAATTTAAGCATTTACAATTATTTAAGATTAATAATAATAACTAAATTCTCTTAAATAGCTTTTATTTAATATTTAAA